ATGAAATTAAATTTAATTTTCGTACTGTTTTCAAACTATTGGGAGAAATAAAAGAAAAAAATTGTTCTTGTAAATGAACTGATTAACACTGAAGTATCAAATACCAATTCTAAGAATTATTTGTACACTTTATATCATTCTTGATGTTATTTCTACAAGGTTTTGGTCTTTTACAGGTATACTTTTAAAGTAGAATGATTACCAAGTTCTTACTGAGCTGAGAGTTATTTTTATGCTTAAAAAAGTACAATAGTTCTTAGCATATGTCTACTAAGTTTCAGAAACAGTTGCATTGAGACATTTGGATATTTGTCAAAAACATAAAATATGTTACATCCACATATAACAAATAATAAATTTATCTACATACATTATACTCTCCTTACTGATAGCAGACAGAGTAAAGAAATTACAAAATCTCCTACAGAAGGTAGCGACAGAGTGTGAGAAGAAAGGATTAAGCATAAACTACAAGAAAACAGAATACATGGTCATCAGTAAAATAATGAGTCCGAAATGCGATTTGCAGGTCAGGAACACTAGAATCAAGTAGACGTGGAAGTTTAAATATCTGGGAAGTGTTCTGACAGAGGACGGTAAATGCAACACTGAGATCCGTAGATGTATTGGGATGGCCAAGGACACATTCCAAAAGCTGGTCAGAGTATTGCAAGACAGAAGGATTTCTTTGGTAATGAAGAAAAGAATACTGAGCTGTTACGTGACATCTGTCCTTCTTTACGGCAGCAAATGTTGGACGATTTCCTCAAAGATGAAGAAGAGACTTGAGGTGATGGAGATGTGGTTCTACAGAAGGATATTAAGTATATCATGGCTCAATAGTGGGAGCAACGATGAGGTCTTAGAGAGGATGCAAACAAGAAGGAGGCTTATACTTAACATCAGGAAGAGGTAGCTGTAGTTCCTGGGACACATAATGAGGAAGGAGGGCCTGGAGAATCTGATATTCATGGGTTGAATAGAGGGAAAGAAACAAGGGAAAACAATGAATGACATACCTAGCGGGCTTAAGCAAGTGGATGACAGAACATGGTCTGGGGGAGGTGGCAGAGGGAAGGAACTTCTTGAGACCTGAAAGGGATAGAGAGAGGTGGAGAGCCATGATCGCCTACGTCTTGAAGGGACACGGCACATAGAAAGAAAAAGAATATTTAAACAGAATAAAGAGAAATGTATTAAACTTTGTCTGTTAATATTCCTTTCTTTTTTTGTGTAAGGAAGAAAAAATATTTTTGTATTAATTTGACTTGTAAGCTGAAAGTCCCTGAAATCAAATAAATTTCAAAGTAGATTGAGTGAAAGTTTCAAAAACAGTTGAGTTGAGACATTTGGATATTTGTAGTTTGATGGCAAAAAAGAATACAATAAAAGTCGAATTGAAAAAGTTCTTTCTTACTGTTATTAACTATGATTTAAAGTGGTTTCCTTTGATGTCAGGTTTCTCATTGTTATAAGGAGAGTTCTTCACCACCACCACCACCACCACCACCACCAGCAGCAGCAGCAGATATGGTGTTAGGGTCACTCTGCAGCTGAACATCTGACCAGCTCCCTCCACATGTCTCAGTAGGTATTCATTCATGCCTAATATATCTTAGGCAAAGCAGACCTGGTGGAGATCATCCCTTTCCAGGTCAGATCACAGTCAATATCCTCTGCCTTCATCACAGGCACATGGTTATTGATTTCATCAGGGGAACCTCCCACCCTGGCTGTTGATTTCAGTCTAGGATGGCTTTGCCTAGTGATGATGCCGTTTCATCATTGCCTTTGGATTTACTACCAGTAGTTCAATCCCATTTGCAGATTTAGCCTGCAGCCTGTTGAAACATGATGCAGTTAATGTCTCTTGGCTGAATTTATCACTGATGAAGACTTTGTAGCCACAACATATGGAATTGCCCATATAGTTCAGTGCCAAAGATGATGATCTAATTGATTTTTTTTTTTTTTGGTGGTGGGAGGGGAGTCTACTAGATGCTGGAGTAAATGGATCATCATAAAAAGTAAAAAAAAAAAAAGGAAAATCAAATACACATAAATAATAAAAAATAATTGTCAAATATTTATAGGACCAATTATCATTATTGTTTTTATTGTTGATGTTGCCAGAACAATTGTTTAAATGTTAAATAATATAAAATAATTAACTATGCATAATAAATAGTAAAAATAAATATTACAAAGTAAATGCTACAATTTAAGATGTCTTTCCTTCAAATTCAAAAAAATGTTAAAAAAAGATAAATAAATAAATAAAACTCGGTCATTTGTGCCAAATATATAAATAAAGTACCAAATACAATGTGGTGAGTATTTGTAAAAAAATAAGCTCACCAAATGACACAGTTATTTTTTTAATGGCAAGCGATGAATATCAGTTAACTGAAAGAATAAACAAATATTGACCATAATAAATAATAATTAGAATTTGTTTACTTTTTAGGTAAGAACTTAGAGGCTCAGGCAAAACAGCATATCAGCTGTGGATGATCTAGTGAACTCTGTGCCTATTAAGCTGTTAAGTGTCCTTCCGGCTTCCACAAAAGTGTTTATTTCTTTTTCAAACTTTTTCATTGACTGAAAAAACAATTTTATTTTTTGGATTTAATGTTGACCTGATTTTAGATATTGTTTTGAGCTGGAAATGATTTCTCTGATGGACCTTTGTTGATTTTTAATTTCTGTTGTGTTACAAACTGTCAGAGTGAAAACTTTGATTAGGATGATTTTTTTTTTCTTTTTTTTTTTCAAATTGTCCATCTGGAAAGAGAGGGTCTCTTTTAACAACAATGCAAACAGAAAATCCAAAAATCTTTTCCATTTTTATCAATGGATACAATACACTTATTTCATAATTTATATGCAATGATGTTCTCAAATCCTTTCCTCCATAATGTGAGACACCTCAGTAATATGGCATAATGTTTAGTGAGGATAGCGGTTGACTGTTACTACTGAGTGTTGAATTTATTAATCCTTACTGAGTCTAGCATAAAAAATTTGACATTAAATGATCTAACAAGGGTTGAAATGTCAAGAAATCAACTAACTTAACCATCCATCCTGTGTCCATGTTGAACAATGAAAGCCACTATATGTTGAAATCCATATTGTTTTAACTGATGTATTCTTCTGACAAATTGATGCATATTTTTTCTTTTAATTTTCTTATGCTCCAATGGTATCTGGGCAATGTTTAACCTAGTTTTACATAGATCTGCCATACCAGATTTGTCCATTTCTATTTTGAATATGGATTTTCTACATTTAGATATGACCTTCCTCACTTTAAGAAAATGGCTTGTGCTTCCTCTGTATTTTATACAAACTTGCATCGAGTTTGTAAATTCATTTTTTTTGTTCAACTTTTCTCTTGTAATGGAGCAACTATGTTAAAGAGGTTATGTATTTTTTTTAAATCATTTCACCCCAAGCAAGACAATAAAGCCACTAAGATGCAAGGTGTTATTTAGAATGAAAGAAACAGAGAAAATATTATTGAATAGAAAGGACAATAAAAGAACAGGTTTCAATGTAGTCAATTTTGTGCACTTTTGGGAGAAACAGATCACAGAAGCTTTCTTAAGTCTCCCCAAAGCTCGCTCGCTGATTGGTCTATGCCAACCAATCCGATCGCCTGCATGCGAAGAATAATTCTTCCCGCACAGCGATCTGGAGCCTATAGTCACTTATTTAAACAAGAATTTTTCTTAGCCGATTAGTGAGAATTCAGCTGCCAAACAAATCCACGACAGTTGAAACCATGCACCAACTTTCTCACTCACACACATCACTCACATGCTGAACATACCTTGTATATATTCACATAATCTTTTCTAACACGGCAAATCTTTTAAGAACAGTCTTTGGCTTATCCTTTTCTGTGTCAGCCTTGTTTCCTAATCTAAAGTTAAATTTATGTGGTGAAGTTCACCACATTGGTAATAAAACAATACCAAAGGAGAATGCTCATCAGAATAATTGCCATGAAAATATTTATAGAAAACACACAGGGAAGCTACGTTACAGTGATGGGAAAGTGACTGAAGTTGAGATTCTAGGTCAGTATCAATAATATTGTTGATTCTTCTTTGGATTTTGTCAAGAATCTCTAGAATTGAAGAGTGGTTTGTGTTATTGAAGACCTGATATTATAATGTCCACAAGTTCTTTAGATTTATTTAGCTGTACCCCTTAATATGGCATTTTAGCTATATAGTTGGTGTCTCTGGGATTTATCTTTCGATTTCTTATCTACAAAACAACATGGAGTGGGTTGTTACTTCAGTTTCTAATGATCACAGAAGGGATGGTTTAAGACAAATCCAGGGCAGTCCTCTGTGTGTGTGTGTGTGTGTGTGTGTGTGTGTGTGTGTGTATGTAGTAATGCTATATTTACTTGCATTAGTGGTTACTAATACATAAAATAATAGGAATGTCAAATAAAAAATAAAATGATACACTATTAAGACAATTTTCTGCCTCTCTATTTTGAGAGTTCCTTTAAAAGCGTCTGCAACAAAGAGCGTCTCTGTGTTGCTAGGTAAAAGAAACGGAAGGAGCTAGCTTTTATTTAAGGAATATGTTTTCGTATTATTATCATGAGACCTTTAAAATAAAATAAAAAATAGAATTATAACATACACTAAATTTGGGGGATATAGCAAAATACCTTCAGCGCTCAATCTCTGAAGTATGCAATGGCTACAAATGAACAGTCATTTTATCCAATTTTGTAGCGAATGATATCGTTTTTTTTTTTATGATCCTTTACTCAACAAAATATTTCACTTAATTTACATTTATTGATATTTATCAATGATAGAATAAAAAGCAAGCATTCTATCTGTCTTAGTGAAAACCGCCTTCCTTTCGAGTGAAAAGATGTTTTTTAAAGCAAGAAAAAAACAACAACTAAATACGAAAATATAATATTCGGTTCTATCTTATAAGTTTCTTATTTCTGAACAGTAAAAATGGCTGCCTTCTTACAGGTAGGTATTTTGTTTTGTTATTTTCGAGTTCAGTTATTTGATTAAACTGATATTGCGCTGAAGAGAAGATATATCTGAATTGAAATATACCAGTAATTATTGGAGCTTAAAGCATAGGGATGCTATTAATTATTTTACTTAATTTATCTTTACTGACGCACCGACATCGGCCCTTTTTTACAATTATTTTTAATTTATTTCCTTTTTATTTTCGTGGCACAACAAATGACGTTGTTCTGTTGGGTGTTGTTGAACGAAAACATTCTCTGTAGATATTGAGATTTTGTAAAAATAAATAATAAAACGACACATTTTCTTTATTCATGAAAATATTTGGGCGCCTATATTTTTTTTTTTCTGAAAAAGTTTTTAAAAAATACCAATTGCTGAAACAAATTTTCATTTTAAAAACGGAAAATGTAAGTCAAAGTGTGAATTACAAAATAAATTTATGAAGAAAGAGTTTAAAAAAGCATTTTAATAGCACTTATTTTGTAAAAATAAGATACCTTATTTACATTTTCTTTATTTAAAATAAATCATCTGTCTTGAAATGTCTGACATAGAACCGCCCCTCAACAATCAAAATTGTATCCGGGATTGGTTTCGTTTGATTGACATATCAACACGTGAAAACCTTTAAAAAGAACTGTTTAAAATTTTGTATTACTATGTTTCAGTGTAATCTAGTCGAATATATAAATAAACAAATTTGACAGTTGGAAATATTTCTCTTTTGTTTATTTATTTTAGTAGGAGGAGTAATTCCCTTTAGTGTCAAACTGATGAAAGCAATTACGGTTTTTCACTCAAGAGTAGTAGAGTTGATTTTAAAGGGAGCCAAGGTGTTCAGCTTTATTTATTTTAATTCATTAAAATTCTGAAATTGAATAAAAAACTGTGGTAGTTCCAGATTTATGGCTATTTATTTATTTTTTTTACTTCCAACTGGCGATAGTGATGGTCTGTGTTTGAACAGAGATAATTTAAAAAAAAGTCAGGATTTTTAATATTGATTGGAGATAATTTTACTTTACGTCCCAAATTATCACTGTTGTTGTGAGGGAGGGCACTCGATCAGTTACAACAAATGATAAAACAATTATTAATTCTAACGAGAACAAAGTGTAAAAAATATTTTAAAAGTAAAGTAAACAAACACCTTTGATGTTCATTTAAATTTTTGAAGAACAAAGTTGACTGTAAAGTGAGAGAAGAAAATGTTAGCATAGAACTTACGGTTACTACGTCTCTAAACATTTCAATCGTAAAATGATGAGACCTTGCTGCCAATCTAGTACAACACTTAAATTCATAAAGTCTAGGTACCAAAAAGCTTATCAGAATAATTACCATGAAAATATATTAGACAAGATACACAGGGAATCTATCTTACAGTGGTGGAAAAGTGACTGAAGCTGAAATGTCAGATCAGGACTAAACATTTCAAATTTTTCTTTATAGTTTTAATTTTGTCATATTGTTGTAATTGGCCGAGTGCCGACACAGTAAATTTAGGATGCTATACTTTAAAACTGAGGTCAACTGCTGATTTTTAAGGAATTTTGCTAACTACTAGTAAGATTTGTGCCAACATGGTCTTTTCCCCTGTAGTTCCTCCTATTTGGTTTTGTGATTGATTATAATTCTCAATTGAATATTTTGAAATTGATGTTTGATTTTTTTTTTTAAATTTTATTTGTTGAAAAACATCACACAACCAGATGAATGTTAAACTCAAGAGAAGAAATTTATAAATATTACAATGTCTTATTTACTAATCATTTTTTGTTAATTAATCACCTATTTAAATGTTGCTATTAAATATCAAGAAATATGAATTATGTTATTTAACCAGGTTGCTAGATATTGTTCTGTTCAGTAGAATTTAGTAAAATGTTTCCAAATGATTTTTTTCTACACTATTTTGACAATGCCATAAATTTATAAAATCTGTAAGCATTGGCCAAATTCTTGTCATGTCAATCAGTGCTAAACAGAATCCTGAAATTAAGCAACATGTAAAAACTTAAAAATACATCCAGAAAGATTCCTATTCCTGCTTTATGTTGCAGAAGTTTTGACGTTTTTTTTTTTGTTGTTGTTGTTTTTTGCTAAATAGTTTACCAGAATCAGAAATCATCTACAAGAGGTGCTTATAAAAATAAACATAACACCACATCTTTGATTCCTTTTCTTTGATATTATACATCAATGTATGTAAAAATATTTGTTTTGATAACCAACAGATACTGATAAAAATGCTTTCTAAATGTTAATTAGACTCAAAACTGGAAGAATGCTTTTAGCTATATGCATTTTTCATGTCATTGTAATTATGTAACAAAGTTAAACATTTCCTTTCCAAAAGAACAATTTCTATATTGTAGACATTTAAATAAAGGTGTGTGGCTTATTTACTCACCTGCAGAAGATATTGGATTAATCCACATCTGAAATGTTCCAAGTTGTTCTTTTACTTTCTCATCTCACTCCAGTGTTCTAAATCAGATGCCCCTTGCGTCATTTGTAAATTTGTAGTTACTTAGAGAATATAAGATTTCTATCACAGATGTTAAAAATGCAGCAAAAAATTATTATTTTTTTTTTTTTGTTTTACTTGACTTTTCCTCTATTTTCTTGCTGAGATTCTCCTCACGTAAATATACAGGTTTTTTATATAAATTAAAATTATATAAAACTCCATATTTCTATTAAATTTGTAATTATCTCATTTTATTTGCTTCTCATCAGATAGGACACTCATTACAAAGTCTGTTTTACAATCATAAACTGTTTTGATCATTTGTTGTTTTGGCAGTTAGACTCAAATAAAATGTAAACTAAACCAATATTATTATAGATTGAAAGTATTGTTTACTATTTTGGTTTGTATGACGCTCAAAGGTTTGTTTAATCATTGAATATTTTGCAATACAATATGCTTTTTGCTTGATTTTTTTAGTATATTATCCATTTGTTGCAATTTGAATTCATGTAAGTCAGTGTGACCAAACTTTGAAGAAAATATCATTAGTCAAAATGCATCCTTCAGATCAGTCATTAAAATCTGTTTTCCAGTGGCGCCGATTCAATTTTTTTGACAAGGAGACTGCATGTCAACCAACAACACGGGAAGTTTTCGATAAATTACAGGTATGGCATAATTTTTTTTTTTTTTTTTTTTTTTTTGCATTTATGAGAAAAGCAAGTTGCCAACCACCATTATTGTTTAATGACTGAGGACAAATTTGATTCTTTTTCTTTTCTTCTTTTGCTTTTATTTTACTCATTGTGATTTGAATCCAAGGCATTTTTATCAATACTATTACTTTAAGGTTATTATAAAGACCTACCAACAAGGAATAGCACACATTTAGTTTTTTTTCACATGGCCCAGTGTATAACAGTGTTGGTTAAAGTAATCCGGTGACTTGAGCTGTGAGTTCAATACCTGGCTACAAGTGAACAAAAACTTGGAGCGTTGAGTTCAATGGAAATAACTGATACTGTGATATCCAGAAGAGGCATGGCACATGGAACTAGAACAATCTACTCTGGTTGATGAAATAAAGGCCTCAGTTTGAAATTCCAATCACCTAAAGAAGGCCAGAGCGTAAACAGAATAACAGACAATAAATTAAGTGATTCAAAAGTCCCAACTGTCATTTGTTGAACAACTTTAAAAAAAATGTTAGAAGTGTCTTTGAAGTTTACAAAGCTCTTTATTTTTGTCTGTGCAATCAGTAAACTAATACATTGCATATTACAAACCTTAAGAAAAATTCAGAAACTAAAACTGTAACCATTTTTAACTAGTTACCAAAAAATAGTTGTATAGTGTTACCCTGATAGAATATTAAACCTTTTCTCAAATTCCAGACTCTTTTCATTGATTGCTCTCTTCAGTTGGTCTAATTAGGAGCAGCACTTGTTCAAATGAATTGGTTCCCATAAAAAAAGCTCTTCATAGTGAACTTTCTTCCAATACCACTATACGTGTGTGTGTGTGTGTGTGTATATATATATATATATATATATATATATATATATATATATATATATAATTACATATAGTGCTGGTGTTAATAAAACAGTGATCAATGTAATATAAAAGGCAGCCAATAACTGGGAAAACAACATCAACAGCGAAGCCAAGAAAATAACCACTGAACTAAAAATTGATGATAGGATCCACAAATTTTACAAACAATAAGCATTCATCACAGTTAAAGATCATAAGGCTAATTTTCTAAACAAACCTCAATACCAATTACTTAACCCAACCAAAAAAAAATATCAGTATAATCAGAAAAAAACATCCTTGAAAAAGCAAATACACCAAAAATGCTCTAGGAATTAGCCAGTAGCATAAAATGGCTGAGGTCATAGAATGGTTTACCAATATAGAAAGAATGAATGAATATACATTTATTTAGTTCACTATTTGTGACTTTTATCCAGCCATCACAGAGAATCTCCTAATGTTGGCTATAAATTTAGCAATAAATTACTGTCCTATTAGAAATCATGAAATAAGTATAAAGCAGGCACAAAACGTTACTCTTTTTCACAAAGTTTATCTGTGGACCAAAAGAGTAACCTGGAATTTTGTATTGCAATGGGAGTGTATGACTTGGCGGAGACTTGTGAATTCTTTGGAATTCCATTATCACGGCGACTTAGATTTATTTTTGATATCAAGGACACCGGACTATAGAGATGATAGTGTTATTCTCCTCTTTAAAACTAGTCCACGAAAGATAGACTGATTGAGAAAGGAACTAATAAAATTTTTTAAAAATCACAAACTAAATATTACCACCACCAATGCTGAAGTGATCAATTTTCTCAATGTAACTTTAGACCTGAAGAGTGGTTATTATAAACCATACACAAAAGATCTATATAACCATAGATACATTAGTAAAGAATCAAACCACCATTATAAAATTCTAGATAATTTACATAAATTGGCCCAAGTTAGATTATTCATCAACTCCAGTCATAAGGAAATATTTGATAAGTCTAAAATTAAATATATACAGGCTTTAGAACTAAGCAATCATAAAGAAAATTTAGAGTATCTAAAAATAAACAAAAGTGGTAAAAATAAGCAGAAACACTGTAAAAGTAGCATTATATGGTTTAATCCACCTATTAACCATAATGTAAAAACTAATATCAGCAGAATATTTCTAAATCTAATTCATAAACACTTTAACTGTTCACCAACACTAAAAAATATTTTTTAACAAAAACAATGTTAAGATCAGCTATAGCTGCATTAATAACATAGACACATCCATCTCCCATTATATTAAACAAACATGTTTCCAACAAAGACAATGTAAATTCCTCTATAAATAAATGCAACTGCCGAAAAAAATATGATCTGTCCATTAAACAACCAATGTGTGACTGTTAATATTGTATATCAAATAAACATGCATTCCGATAATGATGTTGAATTTTATTTTGGTTCCACGGAAACTCCTTGGAAATTTCGTTTTTACCATCACCAAATGACCTTAAATAATTTAAAATGCCAAAACAACACTGCACTCTCCAAAAATTTCTGGCAATTAAAGAATAAGGGCATCTCACCATCAATCAAATGGGAAATTATATCCAGGGCTAAGGTTTATAATGGTAAAGGAAAATGCAATCTATGGCTAGTTGAAAAAATTGGTTATCTTAAAACACTTAAATAACCCTAGCTTATTAAACAAAAGAAATGATGGTTACATGTAGGCATAAAAATAAATATATGCCTAAATACATTGATCCTGATTAGTTTTTTAATTTTAATTCTTAATTTTTACTTTTTTAATGTAAAGCACTATTTGATTATTTATTTGAATACAAATTTGTTTTTAGTTTAGATAAGAACAAGTAATCTCCCTTTGAATTAAAAATTTTCAAAAAATTAAAATATGAATATTCAGCACTATATTATTCTTTAATTTTTTTTTTTTTGCATACATCTATAAATTCCACTTATTTTAATTGCCAGATATAATTCTTATATATATCGTTTTGAATTCAAAGAGAGAAGGTGTGTTTTTCAAAGATCTGCTGATTTCAATAGATTTTTTAACAATGTAAAAAGGTTGGATTAAATATTAAGTAAGGTAAATTCAAATTTGAATAGTAAATGAAATAATCATTGAATTGATAGTTGGAAATTGTAAATGAGTTGTAATGCAAGACAGTATTTTTTCAAAGATTTGATTTCAAGGGAAAAAATTGAAATTAATGTCAAGTGGAGATTACTAAAATTAACAGGAAAAAAGTTTTACATTAATTTTAGGAAAAAGGAGGGAAGAAGAAATGTCTCTTCCTTCTTTGCTGGAATCTGATTGTTGCTTTTCTTGAGGAAGCATTAACATGCTTAAAAGAGTCAGAAGTTGTTCAAATTGTCAATGGTCTTTTCCTTTATCTTGCATGGGATTGACTAGAAGTGCTTAAGTGTTTCTGGTTGTTTGAAGTTGCTCACATTGTCTGCCTCTCTCAGCACCACAAGACAGTGTGAACCATCAGTGTAATGAACCAACCCAAATAGACGCCAGTGAAGTTTTGAGGGCAACCTCACTCCTCAAACAATTCCGAAAGGTGCCTTTAAAAATCCCTAAATCTGTCAGAATCCTGGCAGCCAATGCCTTGGCTACTGCCATAGACCATGCACTTAACTTGAACAGTTGGCTTGACTGGGATCATCTTTTCTCTTTCACAACGGCATTCCTTACAATAAGGACCCTACATCATCTGTCTCATCTATTATGAAAAATAACATTTCTTTATTCAATTTGACTAAAATAAATGCCACCAAATTTTCTAATCTCTAATTCTAATAGATTTCATCCTTTATCTACAGTCGACAATTCTAAGAGACTCTGTGTCTTCGTCAATGTTAACTTATTGAGGGTGATGTTTCAGCTGCAGTTAGAGTATTGGCCTTATCCAATACTATACTAGCTACTATGCCAGAAGTTCTCACGGTGCTCAATCGGAAACATCATGTGCCACCATCAGATGTCAGATTTGTTCAGATGGAAAACAATGATTCAAATATTGAAATCTCAAATTAAGTGATGGTTGCTGCTCTGAAGTCTTTCTCGGGAAGCAGCAATGGAGGTGTGGATGGCTTACAACCTGGTCACATCAAGGACTTAATTTCTGCCACACTACCGAAGCTGGCGAATATTTGAAAAGATCCATAACAGCTCTTATTAATACCCTTCTCCAAGCTGAGATACCCCAACATGCTTGCGACTTAATATTTTCAGCCAACTTAACGGCTTTAAAAATAAGAAATAGATGGAGATATCCACCCTATTGCTGTTGATAACATTTTTCATTGACTCATGGCAAAATTGCTTGTAGAGTTGTTGTGAAAGAGATAGGGCATGAATTGCAACCTGTCTAGCTCAGAGTAGGCATACAGAGCAGATGTAAAGCTACAGTTCATGCCACAAGATCATTTTTCGAGAATACATCACCTGTTTCCCCACATATCTGATTAAAATTGGATATGAAAAATGCTTTCAATAGCATCAGAAGGGATCATACCCTGGAAGTTTGCTATCAACGGACTCCTTCTATATTTCAACTGGCTCATCTTTCATATAGTTATCTAAGTATGTTGATCGCCTCCAATAAAATTCTCTCTCTGCTACCAGAATCCAGCAAGGTGATCCACTTGGTCCGCTACTATTTGTGATGGCTGTTAACAGGGTAGCTCATTCCATCACCTCTCCTTTCAACATGTGGTATCTTGACAATGCAATGCTGGGAGGACCCGTTGAGGCTGTAGCTGGTGACCTCCAACGAGTTATTCCTGCTTTATCTCTGTTTGGACTTGAGATTAACTCGTCCAAGTCAGAGATAATAAACTTTAATTATAGTGCAGATCATTTTGAGAGTGCTATCTGGAATATTAGACTCATCCTTGAGAATATAAAAATAACACCTAAGGAGGAATTTCACATTCTTGGTTCTCCAGTCTTTCCAATGGCCATTTGTGAGTGTTTGGAGACTAAGCATGTCATTCTAACAAGAATAACTGAGAAATTGCAATTAATTGATGCACACCCAGCCCGCTTCCTCTTGAAGAACTGTTTTTCGCTACCGTGGTTCCTCTACACTCTCTGAATGCCCCTAGCTACCTTGAACAGGATTTCTTAAATGTTAATTTCGACAACACAGGCTGGAGGCAGGTGAGCTCCCTTTGAGTTTCAGAAGCCTGGGCCTTCAGTCACTGGCAGGCTTGACCCTTCCGGCATATCTTTCTTCCAGTTGTGAATCAATTGATGAGATACTCGGTGGATCATCTCAATATGGACAGTGCACACACACCATGCATACACCAACCAAAGTCACCTGGAGAAGGGGAAAGCACCCATCTGGCCAAGATCAAAATAAAGCCGTAAACACATAATTATACCCCCTTCAAAAAAAAAAAAAAAATAGAAATATCTTGCCAATGCAGCAAAAAAGTGCTCAATGCCACACAAAACAATACAGTCGTGGTCCATGCTTTCAAACAAAAAAGTGCTCAACCAACAAAATTGGTCCCACAAAGACACCCATGGCAGAGCTTTCTAATATTAATAGAAATAAGCAGCTCTTAAAAAGAGTCTGCTGTAAATGCACACTGGAAAGAAAAATGCTCAACACATATATACACACACACATATATGAAGAAATTTGAAAAACAAACAAAATCCTTAAATGTAGTTAAATGAAAGAAATGTATGGGCGTCTGACGTTTGGGTTTATTAAACCTTTTTCAAGACAATATTCATCAAAATACAATTCAGTTCAATATGACAAATACTATGGACATAAAAACACAAGTCTTATTCAGAACAGATAACTGAAAATTTTTAAAATTATGCCTTTAAAACGTCTAATTTTAAGGACCTACCTGTTTCACCCACATATTTTAGGTCACAATTTTTATGATATTTGATAGAAAGTCGGATCATTATTTTGAAATGAAAGTATTAAAAAAGAAAATAAAAAAATTCTCAGGAGGATTTCTAAAGCAGGTATAATATCCATCTCACGCACGGTGAATACTAGACCTGGTTTCTTTAATATTTCCCTATTTTAGCTTAGATTGATGCTCGATAAGCATACACATAAGAATTTTAGATCCTCCTAATAGAATTTTTTTTTTTTTTTTTACTTTTCAAAATAATCACAAACTTTTAGGAAGTTGTTATGAAAGCATTATTAAAATGTGACGAATATCTCGTTTATGACCATGTTAGAGATTGAAGGACTGATCATTTTAAAATTTTTCAGTTATCTGTTCTGAATATTGTGTTTTTTATGTCCATAGTATTTGTCATATATTGAACTGAATTGTATTTTGATGAATATTGTCTTGAAAAAGGTTTAATAAACCAAACGTCAGACGTTCCATCATTTTTCTTTTTAACTACATTTAAGGATTTTTTTTGTTTTTTTCAAAATTTCTTCATTCGTCGGATTTATATCCATTTACACTTTTTATACACACATATATATATATATACACACATATATATATATATATATACATATATATATATATATATATATACACATATATATATATATATAATTTGATAGTTGTATATTTAGGCAGCAATCGGAAACTCCCATTCTTAGATATTCTTGTAGAATATAGCAATAACACTTTCATCACCTCATTATATGAAAAAACCACTACCAAAAACTCTTGCCACCTTAATTTTAAAAGTGAATGCCCACTCAGGTATGAAATAGCAGTAATAAAAACTTCCTAAAAAGAACACACCAGAATTCATCCTCTTGACTACTCTTCCTCAAAGGACTTAATAATGTAAAACAAACACTAATCAACAATGACTTCCCTAACCACCTTACAGACCACCAAATTAGACTATTTCTCCCCAAAGTAAATAATAACAATAGTGAACACACAGTCAAAATTTACATAAACATTTATTACAAAAACCAAATGCGCATTAACTACAAACAAGACAAATCTTCACTTAGACATATTATAGAGAAATACACTACCCCAATTGACCCAAATAAAAAAAATCAAATTATCTACTACAAAAAATTTAAAACAGCTAACCTTATCCCCAAAAATAACAACACACCAGTAAGGTCAAAAGGACAACGAATGAACATTATCTATGAGTTCAAATGCCCCTTAAGAAACTGTGTTCCTAATCAAACTGGACTCATAAATAATTACATCGGTTACACAACTACATGCTTATCCAGGTGCCTTATGTTACATCTATCTCATCAAAACTCCATTAGAACCCATTTAAACACACACACAAACTTACCAGACTCCATTAGAAACATACTTGTAGAAAACACAAATATAATAACTTCATCCACTTGTAAAAAAAAGATTAAAAATAATGGAAGAAAAAACCAACTCTTAACAATATTAACTACGGACAAGGCCACAATGTGCTAACCGTATTCGGAAATTAAAAACATCTCTATAACTCACTAAAACATACACATAATGCACACACTCAATTAAACTGAAAAATTGAATCGTCCTTGATAATAGCTTAAGGTATAGCCGAAAGCGCTCGGAACTATAAGACATTTGGACAGTTTTTACACACCCTTTGTCCAGAAAAGAAAGCTCTTGTTCAAACATAAGAAAAATTAAATAAAAAGCTTAAATGTAGTACCTTGTCTGTCATTTTTAATGAAACATGCATGCATATATATATATATATATATAATCACTACTATCTTTGAATGAAACCTACAGGCCTTTGGTAAAGTTATTAGTGGTTCATTTTAATTGCCTCATGATTTCTTGCATTCTCTTTTCTTTACCTATTGCAGTTTGGTTTAGAAAATTGAAAATTGTTGTTATGTAGCAAATTACACATTGAAATACAATCCAATAATTTTGTGCAAGTTTGTTTTGTAAATTTTGCATTCTGTGCTATTATTATTTTTTTATGTAATTTAATAAATGTAAATTTCTTTCAAATTTTACACCAGGGTAATAGTCTTGTGCTTTTTTGTTTGCACCATTCATAATATTTTGGATAAGTGATTAGACGTTCTCTATTTTCCTCCTCTTCCCCCCAAATCCTTTTATGAACTCTGAAATTACTTTCTTGTTTTTTTATATTATTTTTATTATAATTTTGTTTTTAATAGAACATTAATATCTCAGCATGTGCCAGTGGGCGAGGACAAATCATTGTGGGTGACCATGAAGGTTTCCTCCATTTTATCAATAGGAAAATGGAAGTGACAGAATTTGAAGCTTACAAGATCAGAGTCACTCACCTCTTCCAGATGAAGCAACACAATCTTCTCATTACCATTGGTGTAAGACAATTTCCTGTTTTCTTTTCAATTTTGTAGCATCTAAACATTTTTTAATTGTTGTATGCTTGCTTTGTTTGAAGTTGAGATATATATTTAATAACTTATGTGTAAAAATTCAGATATGTCTATAAAAATATAAAAAAGGACAAAAGGAAAACCTTATATGCATTTCATTTCTTGAGAAACTTTATCAAGGCAAGTGTAGAAATTTTATTTAGTAACCTGTATTTATACATAGAAGTAACATAGAGAAAATCATATTTTCAAAATTTGAATAAGAAAAGGTTTTAAAATATTCTAAAAACTTACTGTGAAAGATAAAGTATGGAGGATGCTAAATGACATAATTCATATGCCTATTAAATGAAAGTGAATTGGTGCTACTATAGATTGAGGTCTACCTCAATATGTTGTATCCCTCGGGTCAGGTGAGGTCTAATATGGATATTTATATCTCTTATATCTTTTTCTAAAGATGTGAAATGGCAGGTAGACCTCACGCTGTATTGGCATCAGTGAATTGATATGTTGTTAGTGATTTTCTTTTTAATGTAATTATTATTTAATAACTTTTGTTTGAGGATTCTGAGGTACCTGAATTACTTTCCTTGTGATCTCTTTCATTCTTTAACAACTGCCTACTAAACCATCTTGACTGCACCATTTTAGTCATGTAGTGTCTGTGTGTAAATGACACTAGAATTATTAAATTTGGAAGGATAAACCTTTAAAGTATGAAAATATTTTAAAATAATATTTTTTCTTTATTTTCAGGAAGATGAACAAGGAATCAATCCACTTATTAAAGTTTGGAACTTGGACAAAGTGAGTGAGCGCAATAATATAGTCTTGACTTGAACATTAACTGAAGCTACTTTATTGCCAATATTTTAGCCTTAATTTGTGACATTGAGGTTTTCTACTTATTAAACAATTAAAATGGTTGATATTTATATCAACCCTTGTTCCACTGATTAGAAGCAGTTTTCATAATTTATCACTTTTAAAATAATCTCTTCCATTGTACTTCATTATTTTGAAAAATATTCCAAATAGTCTTTTTCCTGAACAGTTTTTCTTGAGTTAATCAGACTAAATAGTAAAACTTTTTAGTGGAATATGGCACTGTAATTAAGTATCCTCCCTAATTAAAATTTTATTTTCAATATATCTAAAAAACCTTTAATACATACATAGAGAACTGAATAAAACATAAAAAGCAGTACCAAATTTAACCTGGTAACTCAATTAACAGTGAAGTTATGACCATTCAATGTTCATCAGTTTTCCATCTTATGTGCTATTGGATCAGAAACCAATTTCAACAGTGTATAACTGAAGATGCCATCTTCAGACTAGTTAAAAATCATTATAAATGTAATGTCATATAGGTAGTCTTGAAGTAACAGAAATATAATACTAATGGAATCAATAATTAATAGATCTGACTATCTTAAACATTGGGGAAAATTGTGTTCTCAGAAACGAAAGTTAAGAAATGACACAGAAGGACACATTCATATAAGTTTCACATCAACAGTTAATAATTTGCAACTTCTTGCTATGATTTATAGCACAACAAAGATAAAACTATTTTTTTCAGTAGCACATCAATAAAAAAAAAACTCCTATTTACACCATGTAAAAATAATCAGAAGCACAATTTGACATTAGGACCAAAACAGGTAAATAGTATACTATCCTGAATTTACCATAAAAAATATCCTTTGGATATACATGCCTGAAACATAGAAACTTTACTAATTTTGGTATGAGGAATTCCACAAAACAACTCTTTTCTCTGTAATATGAATACCTTTTGTGATAGATGTATCTAATTTTGGAAAAATTTTCTGAAATTATACAAAGAAAAGTCTAATGACTACAGAACTGAGAAATTTTTTTCATGAAATAAATTCTTGGTCAATCCTTCAAATAAATGCTTATTGTAAAGCTTTAAACTCATTTATCTTCAAACTGAAATGAATAAAAAATACATTTATTGGAACTGAGGACAAAAAATTTCTGAACAGTTGGAATGGTCTTCCTGCATTTTCTCTTCTAATGGTGATTTGCAATCTGAATTTGTTTATAAAGCACTATTCCTAGAACATTCCATCTCCTGTAATCTCTTGAAAGTGGCATGATATCAAAGTCCCATCTAAAGACAAATGTTGACGCCACTTGTGCAATATCATCCAACAACAAAGACAATAAAAAATAATAATTTCTGCCTTGGATTAAAATTTATATTATGGTACTAGACGAAGATGTAATATCAATGAATTGGTCAATGTAAAAGTTGAAATAATAGTATACTGCCACTCATTGGCCTTACTATGCATAACTGAAGATCATTTGAAGTGGTTTTTCTTTATCATGAATGCTAGAGTTGTTTGAAGACAGATTCATTGAGTGCCTCTCCTTCCTTTTTTCTTTCTTTCTTTCCTTCCTTCCTTCACTGTAATGTCTATTTTCTTCATCACAGTTTTTAACTTTATCAGCAATCTTTTCATATATTGCAAGGAATTTGGTGTCTTCTTTGGCTTGCTTCTCCTACTTAGAAGAAAATTACTTCATCATCGACTGAACAGAAAATTAAATGTAAATTTTATTAATCACCTAGGTAGGGGTCTCTAGCATGGAAAGCACTAATACATAAAAAAAGAAGAAAAAAAAAGAACAGATACCTGTTTAAAAAAAAAAGTAAACTTATCTTCCATAACACTATTATGATAATGGCTTAATGGAAGTGGGGGGATTTATCAATTTCATTTTAACCTCTGAAATAGGACCTAATCTAGAATTAGTAAACAAATAACTATTTTTTTTTTTTTTTTTTTTTTTTAAAAAAGAAGGAAACTGATTACATTTTGAAAATTATTTGATTACATTTCATTTTTTTATGGATCCATGCATCAAAATTAAGCTTAAACATATATTTAGTTCATTTTTTTCTGTACTTTATTAAAAGAAATTGTAAAATACAATGAATAAGTAATTTATAGCTTTAAAATTCATTGTCGAAGAAAATATAAGAAAAAAATTTAAACTGTAATATCCATCAATGAAAGAAGTCTGATTTAAAATGGAATTCAGTTGGCAATGTTCATTCACTCAGTCAGCAATACAATTTTGATACATCAGACCCAACGGTTTTGCACAAAATGAATGCAATATACCTTCTTTTTGACTTGTGTATACCTCGCATTGTATGGGTGCAGAGATATGGGATGAACTGATTATTAAAGATAAGACATTGTTCTACAAGAAGGTGAAGAAGTTTTGAATACCTACTGAAATGTTTGAAGTAAATATTGAATACATTGAAATGTGATCAACATCACTTCAAATAGACTTATGATTAAGCAAATAACTGCAAACAATATTTACCAATTTTGGTTTGGCATATTTTCTTGGTTAATATTTAAAAGTATTAAACAAATTCAAGATTTTTAATAAGGAAATAAGTGATGATTATAGTTGAAAAATTTTAACTTTGATGTTTTCTTTGAATGTTTAATTTTTGAAAGTTAAATTTCCCCTTTTTGCTGTTTCATAGATTATTGGTTCAACAAGTTTATTTTTCTCATAAGAGATTTCAGTTCTTCCGTAAAAAAAAAAATTTAATAATAATGTTTTTTTTGTAGATGGAGCGAGGAAGTCCTTTGTGTACACGAATTGCTCGAGCGATCCCAGGCAACAAACCCTCTCCAGTAAGAATGACAGCTATTCAAGATCATTTTAAATATTTGTTTTAATTTTATATGAAAATTTAACCACTTATTCTTTTGAAAATTTTCCTTATATTTATTTAGTATGTTATTCATGTGTTTAACTCACAACTGTAAAACTACTTATTTGTCTTCTCATGAGATGAAGTTGTTTATCTGAAAAATCAAATAAACTTAATTGAAATAAACAAAAAATTCACATTCTGAGATGAAAGTTGTAATAGACTAAGAAAAGCATTATATTTAATATTATTAGATAATTTTTTTTCTTTTAAATTATATAAAATGTAATTGTTTCTGTCCAAAATATAATAAGGCATACTACTCATAAAAAAAGTTTATTTAGCTTTTATTCTTTTATGCATAGATCTCATTCCATAATGGTTCATTTTTTTCAAATATTCCTAAATGATGAGGTAGCAAAGATGACTGTACATTGGTCAGAATATGTGATTTTTTTTTTTTTTTGTTTTACTTACAGGTAACTTGTTTGACTGTACACGAAAACCTAAATTGGATGGCTGTGGGATTTCAGTGTGGCAGTGTAGTCCTCTTCAAAGGAGATGTTACACGAGACAGGTCAGTATTTTTGTCACAAACACCTTTTGAACATGATTTTAAATCATCAAAATTTGGGATAATTTTAAAAGATATGTTGAATTGATTTTGTGATTTCATTCCTGATCTCTTTATTTTGCTAAATATTTTTTTTAATAAAAATTTCCTTTTAATTTTTATGATCAGTGTTTTAGACAAGAAAATGATTTACTTATTTCTGGGGATTCTATACCATCAAGAACTGAAAGTAGATTTTAAAACCATTTGTATTTTAAAGAGAACATGTTAAATTTTTTGTGATAATGTGTAGTGAATTGTTGATAAAAAATTTGAGTTAGTATTCTTGGGAGTCTAAGCTGAATTGGAAGATATAGTTTTTTATATGAAGAAATTTTATTACGCATGTCAGAATGGACTAATTGTGATAGTTTGCTACTCTGCTATTGATTGGCTATAAAAAGTGAAAGAAAAAGAAATGTTGGCTTTTTCTACAAACTGGGCTTATGTAAGAAATAGAAATACAAAGTTGAATTTTCTCAGAAAATATGTCTGGTCAGTTTTTTTTTGCATAAATTGAAGATTTCTTTACTGCCATAGGTATTAGCACCATATTGTGTCACATTGGAGATACTTAGTACCATTAACAAGTGTTACTATTTGTTCAGATATGTATTGGAATTTTTCTTCCTCCATAGAAAATTGAACTTTTATTTATAAAATTTAATGCTGCAGTCTCTAATTTTCATTAAGTATTTATTTGTAGTTGTAATTAAATACTGTTTATTTTAAAATTGAAGTCTTGAGTTATAATTATTAACAGCCACTGTACATCACAAATATAGCGACGCGGAATTCACGTTAAACTCACACAAGAAGGAAAAAAAACCTTCTTGACATGATATCCAGTGAATATTTACCACTTCAGAAGAGTGACGACATGTGGAACTATGAATTTCAAAGAACTCCAAATAAATAACCTGGCAAGAATATTCAAAAATCAATTTGGCAGACTACAGAAGAATGGTTCATGGTTCAAATGTTGGAACGACAATTACAGCAACAACAACCAACAGAAAATTCTCAAATTATTATTATTATATAGAACTTCACTGGAAAAGACATCAGATTTATTCACTCCAAATGCTGTTGCCAATTCAATTAGCGAATTTTTATACAATCCAGACGAAGGAATAACATTTCCAACATACTATAAAAGATATGAAGAAATCTTCAAAAAGGGTTGTTTTTACTGGGATGATGGGAAAAAAAAAAAGGTTTGCTTATTAAGAAAACTGTCTTCTGCAGAACATGAAAAGTATGTGAATTTTATTTTGCCAAAAAAACATGAGATAAATTTTGAAGAAACTATTAATTCTGTCGGAAATTTTCATTGATGGGTGCTCACTATTTAACACACGTTGGCAATGTCTTAACAGCAGATTAATTCAAATGCCTAATATTTGTACAGGGCTTAACTTCTAATAAGGATGCTGAAATAACAGTTAAGATACTATTAGAGATGGATTCAAAATTAAATTATATAGCGACAAAAATAGCCGAAGAGTGTCAACCCATAGTTAATCTGAAACTTGATACTCAAGGATTGAGGAAAGAGACATTTCACACGTACGTAATGTCTGACCATTTAAGAAAAAGGAATAGACCTTTTGCAACACCTAAGAGAACATTCAAAAAATATTATACACCTTTGTCAATACCTAATGCTTGCCATAGTTGTGGTGGTAAACATTTTAAAAGTAATTGTTTTTTTCAGGAACAAAAAATGCTATGAATGTGGAAAGATTAGATACAGATTTACTCATTGTAAATACAAAAAATGGATAAAAAAATAGAAGAATGTATTTGAATGTGGTAAATACTTTGTGTAAAGTAAAAAAAAAAAAAAAAACTTAAAGGAAAAACTACAAAGAAAGATTTGTCAAACGTGTCTTTAACTGAACTAGAAACATCTCAAGAGGAATTTTATTTTTGTTAAAATTAATAATTTAAAAATAAAACTACAACTGGATATAGGGTCTGATATCACCATTATCAATGAACAGACATCGAGAAAAATGGGTAAACCCAGCTTAGCAACTTCTGAAAAAATTGCTCATGGAGTTACAGGGAAGAAATTGGACTTTATGGGCATGTTCACCTGCAATGTTTTTTTTTTTTTATTGGAAAAACTAAAAAGGCAGTTATATTTGTGGCAAAGAATACAGCTAATTTATTTGGAACAGATTGAATTGCATTATTTTATCCATGGGACCTTCCAATTAATTAATTCTGCAACAAAATAAATGTTACCTCTGGTACTAATAAGGCAGCTGAAAACTTAAAGAATTAAAAAAAAATCTAAATAGATGCACTAAAACAAAAGCTAAATTTGAAGTAAAAAAAAATGTAACACCAGCTTTGAATCCAAAAAGAAGTGTACTTTTCACAGCATTAGAATGTATTAATAAGGAATTAGAAAGACTGGGAAAATTAGGAGATATATCAAAAGTAGACTATTCCAAATAGGCATCACCAACAGTTTACGTGAAGAAGAAAAAATAATAAAATCCGTGTATGTGCTTTTTTTTCAATGGGTTTAAAGGAAAGTTTGAAAGAATGTAACTACCTGTTACCAAGTCTGGAGGAAATTTTTGCCAAGCTAAATGGTGGTAAATTTTTTTCTAAATTGGATCTTTCGGATACTTACCTACAAATACAAGTAAACGAAGGGTGTTCTAAACTTTTAACAATTAACACTTCTAAAGGACTGTACAAATTTAACCAACTCCCTTTTGGTATAAAGGTAGCACCAAGCATATTCCAACAGATTATGGATACAAAGTTTGCCAGTTTGGATTGCGCACAATCATATTTGGATGATGTACTTATAAAAAGTGAAACTCAAAACCAGCATACAGAAGATGTGAAAAAAGTATTTAAAAGAATTAAAGACTATGGTTTTAACATCAGTGAAGAAAAATGTGAAATCTTTATGAATACAGCAAATAGACTGCAGCACCGTGGCACTATCTTATTAAACTACAATTATAAAATGGAGTTTTTACCATCCAAAAAATCGAGTCATACAGGCAGGCAGGCTGGCTGTCTAGATTAATACCAAAATTCTTCAAACCACTAGAAGACACAGTAATTGCAGCAATAAGGGCTGAAAATGAAATTAAGAATGTATTGTATAATACAGTGAAAGAACTGCCCATAATATTAGAAGAAATAAGAGTTTCACATAGGACATCCAGGAATTTCAAGGCTGAAATCCTTAATGCAGTGTTATACATATTGGCTGAAAATTTAGTAAAATCATGCAGGGGTTGCGCTCTAGCAGCGAAGGCACCGCCTATTAAATTTCAACCTTGAACAAAAACTGATATTCCATGGTGCAGAATAAACATGGACTTCGCAGGACCATTAAACAGGGCATACTATCTAGTTGTGGTAGATAGTTATACTAAATGGCTAGAAATATTAAAATGTAGAAACCAACTACCACGGTCACTATAACTTTCTTACACAAGATTTTTGTAAGATTTGGGGTACCCAACACTATCATTACAGACAATGGCACACAATTCACATCTAGTGAATTTGAGGGTTTCTGTAAATCTTTAGCAGTAGAACATATTACAACACCCCCTTATCACCCAAGAAGTAACATACAAGATGAACGTTTTGTTGATACTTTTAAAAGGGCACTAAAAAATGTTGGAGGGAGCAATTTCTGAGCATTTTCAGAATAATGCCAAACCCAAACACCATGTCTGGAATGTCGCCAGCAGAACTGATGTTCACCAGGAAGTTTAAGTAAGTATTTAACAAATTACTACCAGAATGGAAGGTGAGAACATCAAGGAACCAAAATAATATAAATAAGTATTTGAAACCTGGTGATAATGTGTTTTTTAAAATTTACGAATGTGAAAAAGAATTTTGGGAAGACAGCATGATAATAAAATGGATTGGAAAAATGACATACATGGTACAGGGAAAAAGTATGATAAACAACACCTTAATCTGTTAAAACAGAGATTCACTGATTTAGTAAGTCAACGAAAAGAGGTACGTATGGAAATGTTGTATGACATATTTGACATACCCACACCACCAGAAATTTGTGAACCGAGGAGGTACAGTAAAAGAAAAAGAACAGCAAGGAAACATTTGAACCCAAACTGAAGACATACAGGTTCCAGAGATGTCATCTCAAAAAGGGATGGGGACATATAGGAAGAAAATGAGTAACCACTGACACCAAGGTTCAAATGTTTTCTGCCAGGTGTATAAATAGCAGTGTCAGGCTACTGACTGGGATGATTATTGGATAATTATTGAGTGACTATTGAGTGGAACTATCCAGTCAAATTAGTGTGAATTATTGTGAGTCAATGATTTGGGTTTTTATTTAGAATGTTAAGCCAAGCAATGCTACTAACAAGGTATTCCCTGAAATGGTTAATTATCTTTGGTTGTCTTTTACTTCTTTGTTCGTGTTAAGTATTTATTTGCAATTGTAATTAAATAGTTTATCTTAAAATTGAATTCTTGCATTATACTTAATTATTAACGGCCATTGTACATCACAAAAGAGATGAAAACTGGAGTCACTACAATCATCTGAAGTGTGAAAAATCATGGGTTGGTCCAGGACAGCATGCAGTATCAACAGTAAAACTCCTCAACCTTTTTGGGGAAATAAAAATAAAATACTTTCAAGAAAGGGAAATTGTAAGGTCATAAGGAGTAAGAAGGGAATATTTACTATGTACATTTCACACGTTATGGGCATTATTATACTCATGAAATAGTATCACCTTAATTCTATATTTCTGGAGTAGCCATGTTTTTCCCAATGGGGAAAAAATGATGAGGTCATGTGGTGCAGCCATATTTATATTATTGGGAATTCAAGTGGGTCATATTTCTCATCTATCTCAATGGGAAAACAGCAAGTCATGTGTATTTCCCAACAAAAAGACTGCAAGCCAGAGATAGTTTCTATATTTCAGATAGCAACAGGTTGGTTTAGCCTTGCTTGTCTTGATTTCAGGAGGAATGCTAACTGAAGACTGACCACTTTTATCACTATATGAACTGACATTACTCAGTGACTGTCTCATGACTCTTGTAAGCTCATTTCAATAAAAGGGAAATAATCGCCTTTTTGCCTCACTACTGTCACATTGCTGCAAGACAATGCTCATCTCCTTATTAATTTATCAACCCCAAAAGTTATGGTTTGGTCCAGAGAAGCTTGCAGCATCAACAGTAAAACTCCTCAACCCTTTTTGAGAAAATGTTATTCATTTTTATTTGGTTAGATAAGGAAGGCGTGTATTACATTATAAATTGCTGAAGCCTGGTGAAACTGTATAGTGTTAAATTGTCTCCTTCAACTTGGCAATTGAAAAAGAAAAAAAACATGGGAAACTGGAAAATCATACTGCTGCATGACAATGTTTATCCCCATTTTGTTTTGTTGACCACCTCCCCCAAATCAGAGTGGTGTTGTGATAGAAAATTCTTAGAGCTGGGCATCAAACCGTTAATTAATTTGACTTTAAAATTGACTTTGAAAATCATCACAGGTTGGCACTGTTAATCAAAAAACTAACTTTGTTAACCACCAGTTTGTTAACCAAAGAATTTCATTAACTGTTGATCAGTTAACTCTTTAAAAATGTAATGGAAATATTCGCTAAATCATTAATGTTAAGTTACGATCCTGCTCCTACTGAGGTCTAGTGGCACTGGCAGTTTTAACTTCAAAGACATCAACAGATTCAAGTTCTTGAGATGCCATGATGATGTTCAAAGTTGGCTTGGGGGTTGAATCATTGGCAAAAATGTTAACTTTGTTAATTAAAACGATATATATATATATATACACACACACATTTATTTATTATTAACTGATTTTAAAATAACACTGGGAACTTTTGCACAAACCTAAAAGTTCTATAAAAGCTCTTCACATGATTTTTGTTCATGTTGGGTTTTTATCATCTCGTCTTTATTTTTCAGTTTCAATAAAATTTCAAATTTGATGTTTTTTAAATTACCCATATATAATGAAAGAATGCCCAAATAAATTGTGCATGTTTTTGAAATCTAGATCCTGAACAAACTACTTAACTATAAAATTGATTTTAAAAATTGCATAAGTGTTCTTTGATCATATTGTAAATGCTTTGCTTTTTTTGTTTGCTTACTTTTCAGACATAGCAAATTCCGAATTGTGTATGAAAATCAAAGACCCATTACTGGACTTGGATTTCGAATATCTGGAAAGAGTATAATTCTGTTTATTGTGACAGAAACCAATATTTTATCAATAAATATAAGCAGTAATGACTATAGAGTAAGCATATATTTTATACTTGGCAAACCCTTTATTCATACGTGTATATCCACTCTCGGTTTTTGGCCTGACCCACTTACCAAAATTTCAACAAGTGACCAATTTTTTTATTTTTAATCTACTTTTCATTGGACCAAGATATATTGAGCACCCCTTTGTAAATATGTGTGTATGTGTTTAAGTGGTGAGAGTATAAATGATTTTCAATTTCTACTGTTTAAAAATAATGATTATCCATCAGTTTTAAAAGATGCTCATATCTTTAATACTTATGAATTGTTATTACTTTATGAAGCTTAACTTGATTTATTTTCTTCCTTGAGAATTATTGTCAGGTTGATGGTATAAATATTAATATTTAATGCAATTTAGTCAAAATACATGATCAGATCATTACTTAGGGATGCATGGTCAGATGAAAGAGAAAAGCTTTGGGAATTGTGTATGTCTATATAATGTGTGTCTGTGTTTAAAAAAAACAGAACAGTCTCTTAGTTACTTAAAAAGTAAGTTTGGATGAAGGATGGTCATTTTTGTTTTGTAGATCAAAATTTACAAAAGTTGAATAACCAAATTTATGTTTTATCAGTAGACCTTGCGTGTGTGTGTGTACATGTGTGTGATATATATAATTCTTAGTTGATGCATTTCGTCCTGGGAAGGAATTTAACAAGGAAAAAATGTATACACTCTATCTGAAAATAATGCACATACACACACACATACACACATATATATATATATATATATATATTATTCCTGATTGTTTTCCATATGACTGTCCAGCAGCTTATGTTAATGTTGAATGTGGCACTTCAGTCATATATATATATATATATATATATATATATATAGTCATCCACAGATAGACTGTTTCACTGTATCACAGCTCTTCAGTGTTGGTAGACATTCAATTGCTTCAAGCCAGGATTGAAACCCGACTGATTTGACATCAGTCAAAGATCCTACCCATATGTTATCGTCACATGACAGATATATATATATATATATATATTTGTTCCTCATTGCCCGATGCACATAGCAATCATCAGGTACATTGTGCTTGATTGCAATGTGTATAAATCTTTAAGTAGCATTGAGCATCAGATATATAATTTTTCTTAATATAAATGTTTTACTGTTATTTTACATCAAGAACTCTTATTATTACTATCAGAACTCACTGTGCACCATTTTTATGTATGTATGTATGTATGTATATATATATATATATGTGTGTGTGTGTATGTATATATATATATATATATATATATATATATATATAAAGTTGACATCATTATATATACCTGTAAGTATTCCCTTTCAGCCAACACTTTTGCAAAAGTTAGACATTGGCGCAGTTAACTCAGGGCACAATTACAAAAATAGTGAATTTGGAGGAGAAATTGGAACACGATTAAAACAAATTTTAATTTAAAAAAATAAGTTAACTCATAGTCCTCCAAACAAACACAAGGAATGTATAAAATGTTCCCTTTGTCTACATAGGCTAGGTTGATATAATTTGATATATGCAGCTTTGAGAACTCTAAGGTGGTTTTCATCGTGTTCCAATTTCTCCTCCTCATTTTCTATTTTTGTAATTATGTCCTGAGTTTGCTTAATTGTGTCAATGTCTGCCTTTTGAAAAATTGTTAGCTGAAAGGGAATCCTTAAAACTGTATATAATGACGTCAACTTTATTATTTAAATCTGTGTTATTTTTCTGTGAGTTCAAGTATATATATATATATATATATATATATATATATATATATATATATATATATATATATATAATAATAAATGTAAGTAATTATACTCGTCTGGAAAAACCTTATGTGTTTTGGTTTGTAAATGAACAACCCAATAGCCAAGGAAAAATAAGGGACAAAAAAAGAAAGAACTAAGAACATGTGATTGAGGCAAAAACAATCGTCCAGAATCCAAGTTCAGAGTCCAAAGAAAAAAACCTTCAAAATGAGTAAAGCAAAAGTAACTAAAGTGCTCAATACACTAAGTAGAGCAAATCTATGAACCTAAAGAGCCAGGTAAATAATTTGCCTGGCTCTTTAGGTTCATAGTTAGTTTTATATATATATATATATATATATATATATATATATATATAAAACAATTATTAGATATATTGTACATATTGATATTGATATTGATTCCAGAACTGATTGAATTGAATTTCTTGTTCAAAATATAATTGAAAAATGATACAAATAATTCCATTTACAGCTGCAGCTCAATTTTTATAAATTTCTTTAAATTCAGTGTTCACATAAAAAAAAGAATATTAATATATATTCTTTTTCATTTTGAATTATACAGTTTTTTTTATTATTCCAATTTTCTCTCTTTTTTTTTATCAACAGACTTCTTTGGATAAGTTTGGATGCAAAGCCCGCTGTGCTGTGATGAGTGGAATGACACAAGATAACCAATTTGTTGTGGGACGTCAAGATGTAAGTAGCTCTAAAAACTTTCCTCTCTTTAGATGTTAATGACTTGTCTTATTCACTCTATTGTTATCAAACTTGTAAAATGGCACATGCGAGAGATATTGATGTAAATAAGTATTTGATGAGTACTTTGAAAGTTAGTAAAAATATTCTGATTAAAAAGTGTTTATGAAAATCTCTGCAAAGTGCAAATCTTTTTTAATATGCAATATGCTTCATCCCTTAGCTTCAGCCACTATTCATTATACCACTTGTTAAAAATATTTTAAATTAGAGCTGACATAATTTAAACCATTTTACCCCCAGACTTTTCTTTGTGTGCTTGAAGATTTTTAAGTGCTTGTTTTGTTTAAAAAAAAAAAAAAAAATTTAAATATACATATCTAATTATATGATTAAATAAGAAACAAATAGACAAAACATTTATAGATTTGACATGTTTTGTTATTTTGATCTGATTAAAATTTGGTGAGGGAAACTTTTAAAGCTAAATAAAATTGCAAAACATTTAAAAATTTATAAAGATTTCCTATTTTTTTCTTATTTATTTCAATTCATGTGATCAATTTGATCTTCTGTCTATATTTCTGAGATGAGGTAATGTAACTATTTACATTGTTCGGACTGTTGGCCTCATCTTTATTGTCATATTTACAATGTTTCGTACTGTTGTACCTTCTTCAGGTGATGTACGTTGGAATTTCAAACCGAACCCTTTATTTCCTCCACTGGGCTAGATTGTTCTAGTTCCACATGCCATGCCTCTTCTGGAAATCTCAGTTTCAGTTATTTCCCTTTAGTAACTCAACTCTCCAAGTTTTTGTTCACCTCTGCTGTGCACAACTCTTTGGGTCAAGTCACTTTTTTTGGATTACTTCAACCTTTATCCACTGGGGCATCAGTGAGTGAATTCCAACATATATCACCTGAAGAAGGCCAAAGCATACAACAGCCAAAACATTGTGAATATGACAATAAAGATGAGAAAAACAGTCCAAACAATGTAAATAATGTAAAATGTTAATTTGATGTTTAACATATTGGCCTGAAGATGAATTCTCTATGCAATCTCTTATATCTAAAATTCATTATTATTTGTGTTGAGAAAGAAAAACTGGTTTCAAATTTGGAAATGGTGGCAGCAATTATTTGTTCATTTCAGATACTATTATTACTATTTCTATTGAAAACAACAATAATAACAGATGAAACAATTGAAAAATTTTTGATTTTTACTTCTCTTGAAACTTCATTCTGATAATTTAAATTTGTATTTTATCATTGGCATAGTATTGATGTTTCTGTTTTAAAGGTAGTTTATTTTTATCAACCTGATGGACGAGGTCCTTGTCTTGCTCTTGAAGGAGAAAAACTAATGCTCTTCTGGTTTCGAGGATACTTGGTCACAGTGTGTCGAGAAAAACGATATATGTCTCCTATGTAAGTAACTTTGTAGAAAAACTGCACATAATCACACATACAGGGTACAATGGGTAAATTGTCACCATTTAATATTTTTAATTTTACACATGCACGCTATTTGTTTTTGATTTTGTCAACTGAACAGTATAGAAGGGTCAACTGAGAACCATCTGTGAGAAAAAGAGCACCATAATGCAATTCACTCTGCCATAAATTTGGAAACAGCATGTTGTACTGCTTGGCATTTGCACTGGAAGCTCCAATATGAACATTTCAGAGTGTTTGATGTTAATCTGAGGACAATGCAGAGGATTCAGAAACAGTTGGATGAATCTAATGTTGATTACGAAGGTATGACAGATTAGAAAACTCATTCTGATTGTTCTGATAAGAAAAGAACTTCCGAATTTGTTGGTGAGATCCAGGTGATGAGTGACATCAATCCCTCCAAGACAGTCAGGTCCTTAGCCAGGGACACAGGAGTGTCTGAGTTTCTTATCAAACAGATAGTGCATGAAGATATTCCATATTTCTCATACATGATGAGAAAGGGCCAATTTTTATTCCAAGCCATGCAGGACAAGAGAAAAGACAGTACTATGAAGCTTTTGACAAACTCAAGCATCTCCTCTAACCAAACATGCTTTGGTTTCTCAGACAAGAAAAATTTCTGCCAGGATAAGATGGTGAACACACAGAACAATCATTGGCTTGCTGTATCCCCAAAATATGTAGCAAGAGTGATGGAAACCAAATATTCAGTTAACATTATGGTGTTTGGAGTGATCATTAGTGATGGTGACATTATGCCTCTGTTCATCTTCCCACAGGGCCTCAGACCCAATGCAGAGGCCCCCACCAAGTGCCTTGAGAAGGTAGTGCTACCCTGGGTGAAGATGGTGGCTGCTGGAAGACTCTGTCTGGCAACAGGACTCTGCACCATGCCATACAAGCTGGAGAACCCAGTCATGGCTGTGAGACAATTTCTGCAACCCCATTGATTATTATGTGTGGGGCACAGTTGAGTGAGAGACCTACAAAACTCCTTGAAACTCCAAAGATGAACTGAAGGCAAGGATTATGGCAGCATTCACCAACTTAAACAAAGAGACCGTTCAGAAGAGTTGCAGGAGATTCCAAAGTTATCTGGAGGCCATAGCTAAAGCCAAAGGAAATTTTATTGAATAAATTTACTCTTTAGTATTTCAAGATATTTTTGCGTAATTTTGGTAAATATATCTGTTAAAATGAGATGTCAGTGTTATTTTCATTTTTGCATAATTTAGTCGACAATTTATCCATCGCACCCTGTTCATTATAATGTAAGCCAATGTTTTGTACAGTCATACTCTTTTAATTACTAACAGGCCAAGTCATAGGATAACAACATATAAAGGTAATGATAGGTTGTTAGGTTGATGCCATGGAAATGCTGAGACCCATGTCTGTTGAGCTTTGACAACTGGTGAGTCAGTGTTGAACACCACTTTGTGGCTGCTCTTGGCAAGGTGATAGGAATTATCAGAGTTTGAATTGGGCATGATAGTGGGTGCCAGGCAGATGGGGAATTCCATTTATGAAATTGTAAGGATATTTGACATCCCTGAATCTATGGTGTCATGTATGTACCAAGAATACCTGATAGTAAGCATTAGCACTCACCAGCAATACAGTGGCTGACCAATGGTCCTTAATGATCATAATGTGAAGCACCTGGCTAGAATTGTTTTGTGGTAATAGAAACAATGCTGATATCTACATTCAGTGCAGCAGGTACTACACACATACACACAAAACAGTTCAGTTCAGAATGTTTAGCTTTCCATAGAGAAAACTTTTCCTGAAAAATTGTTTTCAGCTTTTATAAATTTCAACAAACAGCAGCACTGGCTGCTCAGTCAATGAATGTCTAATATTGCCATTACCATGTTCCTCAATGAAGATGGGTTGTTCCAGCAGGATAATACACTGTGTCATTTTTCCCAAATTTCTCAGAATTGGTTTCAGTATTCTGGTGACTTCTGGGAAATGGTTTAACCACCATATTTACCCAAACATGAGCCCACAGTCAAGAATTTATAGGATGTTGTGTAGAGGGTCTATTTGCATGTATGATCCTGCACCTTCAAATATCAGGGAACTGTGAATAGAGTCATGTCATGGCTCAAAATCTCTCCAGAGATTTTTCTAACCATTTCTGAAATTGAATCCATGTTGAGTTACTGCACTTTGTCAAGCTCGAGAGTGGTTCTACATGATACTAGGAAGCTATCCCATGATTTTTGATACATCAGTGTCACTAATATAATTTTTTATGCATTCATCGCACAAAGGTAAGCTTGTTTATGCCTTTACCTTATTATTAGCTAATTACAATCAGGGAATACAAATTTCAATTTCTTTTAATTTAAAAATTTTATTCAGGTGAGTGATGTTATATTAAACATATATATAAAGTGCATTTCTGCCTAGTATCTGGTGATTAGAAATATCTTGAAAATTAATTTTAGCAATATTGACTGTCAGACGATTGAGACTGATAGTAATAGTGTTTTTTTTTTGTTTTTGTTTTTTTTAAACTGGGAAAGTTTCTGCATAAAATAATTCTCAAATATTCTTTCAGATTCTTTTATATTTATATAAAGTTTGATTTGACTGAACACAACAAACATTTTCACCGCAGGGATCTAAAATATCTATCAACCAGTCTTCTATTGGTTACTAATGAAAATCTATATGCTCTTTTCACTTACTAAGTCTTTATAAGTCAGCAACATATGAAGCATTTTAATTCAAGTTTAAAGCTAGACGATAAACTAAAATGTGATTTACATTTGTAGAAATAACACCGGCATGGCGATGAACATTGTTACCATCTACGACATACAAAATAAATTTATTGCCTTTATTGCCTCTTTCCCTGAGGTTATTGATGTTGTATATGAATGGGGAGCTATTTTTGTTCTTGCTGGCGACAAAAAGGTCAGTTTACATTTTTCATATTTAAATTTTAAAAACAAATATTTTTATCGTGTTTCTTCAAAGTGCATTTGATATTTTAATTTATTATTTAATTATAATTTTTAAATGGATTTTTTGATCCAACATTATTTTTTATTACTATAAAGATCATTTTTAGTGGGTACAGGTCTGTACTGTTCCTGTTTTTTATATTCTTAAACAGTGACATTAATAATGCCCAGCCTAGATCAAAAAGTCATACTAAAGAAAAATTATGCTTCCCAACAGGAATTGAACCTATATCCCTTTTTTCAACATAGGAGTATCCCTAATGGAAAAAGGAATACAAGTTTAATTTGTGTCTTTAGTAGAACTTTTCGACTTAGGCCATTAATTTGTTTTCCTGTAATTGCATTGAGAAACTTGGTTGATGATAGAATAGAGATGAGTGATGGTTAGACATTTCTTTTAGTTCTAGTTAAAACATCTTCTTCATTAAGATAACATGTAAGTTTTAATTTGTCAAAAATTAAAAATACAACTTGGGTGGTACTTAAATACTCAATTCAACTGACTTCTCAAAATCTAATTAAACATATTTTAAAGCCCCCTTCTTGTTTGTACTGAGAACTTTTCAACAACCCTTTTGAGTATTCATTTATTTTGGTTTTAAATGCATTTTTCTTCTTTTTTCAATATTTTAAGGACTGCTTATATGTTCTAATGACTAACCTTAACCAAGTATATAGGACTCTTTAATGTACTTTATTATTTCTATTGGCAGCTTTATCATCTGATAGAGAAAGATACAAAAACAAAACTGGATATGTTATTTCGCAAGAATTTATACAATATTGCTATCAGGTAAACCTTTTCTTTATTTATATTTGAAATATAATTATAAAATGTAATACCAGAACTGTAAGCTTGGATGTTTGGGTGGTGTAATGGATAATGGCTAGGAATTGTTAATTAGAGGGCAGAGTTCCAATTTCTGTTGGTTTCATTATATTCACTTACTCAGAAATAACTTTGGGAAAGGTATGAATCCACCTCTTCTCCCCTAGCTATGGATTAATTAGTAAGACTTGTACCACTAAATCATTCTCAAAAAAAAAGAAGAAAAATTTTGTACAAAATATTTAGATTTTGGCATTAAATAACCCATAAAAGTTGATATGCTGTTAAACAAAAAAAAAAAACAACCAACCAAAAACAGATTTAGCTCCTCATTATCCTTGAACATCTTGGCATACAGTCATAAAATAAGAATTGTGTATACATAATATACAGATTAATGAAAATTATATAACTGCGTAAATTTCCACTGTATGGAGTAAATATTAGTCATTTAAGTATCATGAAAATATAACCAATTAAAAAATATTTAAATTTCTAATGAAATAAATGATCTAAATACTAATAAAAGTTTTCAATATTTGGGTACTTAATTAAGTCATTGAGGTTTTTTTTTTTTTAATTTCTCATTGTTCTATTAAAAGAACATCCATTTGCTTTTTTATTCCCTCCAAAACTACTTTTCCAATTTTAACAACTATCTGTAGAACTTTGGACATTTACTGTTTTTTTTTTTTTGTTTTTTTTTTCCTCCATATTTTGATTCCTAGAATCAATATCGACCATTTTGAAAACATCTATTTTCACTTACCTGCTATTTCATTTTTTTTTTTTTTGTCTGTTTTATTTTATTTTATTTTTTTATAAAAATCTGTTGATTACTTTTGTATTTCACTTTGTCTAATGCATTCATTGTATATAATTAGATTTTCTTGCAATATCTTTGATTTAATATACATAAAGGGTGATAACACATTTTCAAGTTCACTGAAAAAGATTTTAAAAATGAACCAGAAAAATAGCAGCAACTTAGCAAGATGTCTTTAATCTATCTGTTTGTTCCAATCCTGGGTAGGAGTAACTGCAAAACACTTTCCCCTCCCCAATTTATAGGCAGAATCATGTAAATGCATGTTGGGATTTCTTTCTAGTCAATAAAACAGTCCAGTTCTTGGTTTCATATGACTCAGTCTTGGTCTGTCTTTTATTTCTCAGAACGTTCAAATGTTCGCTTATCCGAACTTGCTTGTGTATCAACCTGAATTCTTAGTTTGTGAACATTTTGTCATATTACTGTTGCTTTGCATTGCATATATTGTTTGTTTGCTTTATATTATTTTTTTGCCCTTTTCTTTTTATTGTTATTGCAAACTTTCTTAATTCTGTTTGTTGGACAGTTCTGCCATTTAACTGCCAAGAAAGTTGGTTCACTGTATCAAAACAATTTTTCTCTCCAGAATCTATCTTGCATATCTATAAGTCTCCCATTTGCCCATGCTTAGAATATTGCTGCTGTATATGGTCCAGTGCCCCCAGCTATTTTCCTGGAGCTCCTCGATAAGGTCCAAAGAAGAATAAGCAATATTATTGGGCCTGATCTTATGGCTTGGCTACAGTCACTTGTCCACCGCTGTAAGGTTGCCTCTCTGTACCTTTTTTATAAATACTTTCATGGTAATTGTTGAGCTCTTTGATATGGTACCTAGTCTTTATGAATATAAGGACAATACGAGATCACATCAATTTACAGTTGAGCTAGCTAGATGTAGCTGGAACCTCTATGCTAACAGTTTCTTATCTCACACTTCTCAATTGTGGAACTCCCTCCTGGTCACATGCTTTCCAACCAACTTTAATCTGCAAAAATTTAAATGCAATGTCAATCACTATCTAATTTCCTCCTGATTGCTCTTTTTTCTTTCTCCTCATTACTAATGTTTCTGTTCCTAATTCCTCCACACCCTGTAACCCCTTGTGTGCTATTGGCTGTACTGCTTTGCATGGTGTGATACTGATTAAAAAAAAATATCCATGACCACTCACTCTACAGAAACAAAGGTCAAAATGAAAGACATGGTCAACAAAAATGTTCAATAAAATCAACAGTTGTGCTCAGTTATTGACAGAAATATTTGATGTAACAATGTTGCCTGCGATAGTTTATTTTACAATTTCTATATGTTTAAATTCAAAATGATTTTTGTTTTTCCAATTATTTTATTCATGTTATTTTCAAAGTCATAAATTTAAACACTTCTAACATAGACCATGTTATTCATAAAATGATTTTAATATTCTAATCATTTAAAGTTATTATTATTATATACTAATTTTTTAACTTTTTTTATTTTGTTGCTTTCTTATAGCCTTGCTAAAAGCCAGCAATATGACAAAGGTGGTTTGATTGATATTTTCACTCAGTATGGAGACCATCTTTATAGTAAAGGAGACCATGATGGAGCTATTGAGCAATATATGAAAACAATAGGAAAACTTGAAGCTTCATATGTCATCAGAAAGGTAATACATGATCTGATAAATTATAAAGAAAATTTGAGACTATCTAGTTTTCAGAAATCCAAATGGAATTGGCTGGAAAATATAAAATGATGACAGTGAAATTTCAACTGGAAATACATAACAATTAGCAAGGTGTCATTACCATCTTGTTCATGCATTTCTGTATTAATCTTTTGGTTGAGTAATCAACTAATAACATTCAAAAGTTATATGACAAATGGGCACGTTTCTGTGGAACAAATTTTCCATTCATTTCAAAATTAAACTAGAGTAAAATGTAGACAATTCCACCACCTCCCTTGAGATTCCACTTAGGCCCTTCACTTCTATGATCACTTGACCAATCTAATCTCTAGACTCCATGGGCAAGCAGACGTGGCTTAGCTCCAATTATTAACTTTAATTAACATCCACTTTCTCTATCGGGCATACATCAGCTGTCCTGACAGCCTCTTCTTGCAGCACTTCAGCTCTTATACAAAGAAATCTCATCTCTTTGGTGATTTACATCTTCCCTTCCTTTTTTGACAAGTGCTAAAAAAAACAATTCCCCAACTTTGCCTTTGTTTCCAGAAAACCTTAAATTTTATCTCTTGACCAACTTTTCCTTACCCACTATTTACACTATTCAGACTATTGTCCTCATCTTGTTGCCATATTTATCACAACATTTCGGCCGTTGTACACTCCAGCCTTCTTCAGGTGGTTGGAATGTCAAACTGAACCCTTACCGGTCTTGGCCAGCAGATAATTCCATAACCTGGATTTTAAAAACAATAGTGTCTCCATTTCAGTTTTTATACCACCTCTCTCTACCTCCTGTAGGTTTAAATTATCCAAATAGCTTTTTCAACTAGAGTCCCCAAAATAATAAAGCCATTTTACTCCCAGCCAGCCTCCACTCCTGACTTGGTCATCGGAGGTCCTCATATGTTTATTTTCTTGTTGACATGTTGACAACCCAGTATTTACTCAGTCCATTTCATAGTCAGTTGTTAATGTCAGCCATATGGTTTTTGTAAAACCAAAAAAGAAAAAATCAAATGTTTCTGTCTTGCATTTACCCAAGGAAGAAAAAAAAAATCAAACCCTCTGAATTTACTAAAATCTGGGCTCATCTCTTGGTATGTTTATCAATCTAAGTTGTCACATCTCTCTCAGTATAGCTATTGAACTATCCCTTCAACCCTTAAAGTGTCACAGCATAAATCACTAACAAAACTATCCATATATTAGTTAGATTTCTAAAACATTTTTATTGGAATTTTAATGATTTATTCTTCTGCTATTATCAGCTAATTATTGTATCTTATTGTTATAAGTTCAGCTGTAATAATGTAAGTTTTAACCTTTACCACACTAATTTCTTTCTAGAATTGTTCCCCCCTGCCACTGCATTTTTTTGAGGGTACAAAAACATGAACAGTGACTGTTTACAATTGTTATAACTTTCTTTGTATTGTACATATAGATTATAATTTTTGTACACTAATAAAAGAATGAATGAGTAATATTTTGATGTAATGCAGTATGTAATGTGTTACGTTTTACATGCATGTTTTGACATTGAAAACAAAAAAATTGAAATGCGAAATAAAAAATAAATACATTAAAAAATACATAAATAATTCAACATACTTTAACTTTTATTACTCCTTGCAGAGATCTGGGGGTGCAATAAGAAGCAAAATTGCTAAAAATTTTGTCAAAAAAGTGACGTGTCTCCCTCTGTTTGCATACAAGAAGACACTAACACTAAGACACTGCTCTTTCTTTCACCTGACTCATATTTATTTGTCTCGTTGATGAATAAAGTTATTTCGTTATTTATAAATAGACAAAATAATTCACCTTCAGAAAGGCTATCACATATCGATGGTTGCCAGTAGCTTCCATAAAATTACTCAGGCATGGATGATAGTAGTCGCTAATGGTCATCATCGCTTTCCTCCACATTACTAACATGATTATCAACTCTGGCCACTTCACCATCAATATCCACTCGAGTAAAGCCTTCAAAATCATCATTGGAGTCCTAATCAAAAAAAAACTCCTCAATAAAGGCTTTGTTGAATATTGACGTGGCCATTTTTGTTTACAAAAAATCACGAAAAAATTAACATGGGTTTAATCAATGCTACACCTCGTGTAGAGTCCAGAAGAATTCAAAATGGCAATGGAAAGCGGAAGTTTAACGTTGTTCCAAAGCAATAGTAGGTGATTTCCAGCTTAAAATACCAGAAATAACAGTTGACAGGTGTTTATTTATAGCAACCATCTCAAGGTGACAGAATTCGCCTAGAGTAGCAAAGGGAGAGAATTCTATGGCGACTATTGTCACCTGTGGTGTGGTAAAGGTTAAGAAACTGTCAAGGAAAGATTCATTAGAAAAATGTACTTTAAATAAGCACTTTTATTGCAAACAAATATGATTACCAGCTTTAGCAAAAAATATTCTAAATCAGTGGTTCCTAAACTGTGTGGTGCACCTCGTAGGTACGGCAGAAGAGGATAGTGGGTGAAGTGGAATAATAGAAAGACAAAAATTTAGAAACAGTTTCAAAGAATTCATTTGCCAAAAAATAAATATGATTTCAAAATTTAAAATATTATTATGAGTTACTTGTAATTTCATGCATGAGTTTCAGTATAAATAATTATTGACCGATTTTGTCATTGCAATATTTTTGCATTATATCAAGTATGGAGAATATAGAAATTAGGGTCCACAAATTGGAGGAGAGAGTTATCAATGATAATGTTCTGACTTCGAATCCGCGGTTATCTCCCTTTGACCCTCTCTCTCTCTCTCTCTCTCTGCTTTTTTATTTTTAATTGTTGTTTCTATCACATAAAATTTGGTGAGATGCGAGCAAATTTTAATTCTGAAAATGCAGCTCAGAAAAAAAAGTTTGGGAACCACTGTCCAAGATGAATGGATTTAAAAACTTAGTATCTTGAAATTTCTTCATTATTTTTTAATATTTTTGTTACAAGAAATTGGTTCTGCATATATATGAAAAGTAAAACAAAAAGATATATAATTCATAACAATGTTGAAGCATATCAAAAGCAATATTTTGAAATGTTGTTTAAAATTTAACTTAAGATATAATTGGTCACTTAAATTTTTTTATATGTATTTATTTCTGAGATATTTCATGTACAGAAAAATGTTTAATAACCTAGAAAAATAATAAGATATATTTTATTATTACTAAAATCAGTTGTCATGTAGAAGGACTTAAAATAATACTGTCTGATAAAAAAAAAAGAAATCAAAACTTTAAAATTGACAAAGTAAATGGTTATTTCATCAAGCTTTGAACATTATTATAAATTATTTTCTTATTTCTTCATTTTCAGTTCCTTGATGCCCAAAGAATCCACAACCTGACCAAATATTTACAAGCTTTGCATAAAGGACAATTAGCCACTGAGGAACACACCACTTTACTTTTGAACTGTTATACACGCTTGAAAGATGTTTCTAAACTGGACAAGTTTATTAAAGTCAGTTTTTTATTTAACATTTTTTTCTTTCTTTTTTTTATTCTTTCATTGCTTTATATTTAAAAACTGAATTCATTTTAAATTATTTTTGTGCATCCATATGAACACAAACAGGGAACTGCTTAATATTCAGACATAGATTCAATCAGTTCAGTGTTTTTTATTTCTATACTGTGGTGATAAATTTCACTCCTTTTTATCATGAATTGTCCCATTGAAACCTTTAATCAATACTGAAGTACTTATCGCAAAGGATGTAGTTATTATTGATGACTAGAGTATTATATCTTCTTAAATAATAGAAAAATGTATAAATCCTTAATAATCAGAAATATAGTACCTTCTTTCTGTATGTATGTATGTACTCTTCATTAGTTTTGTCTTGATTTTTGGTCAAGAAATCATTAATTTATTATATTCCTTGTCTAATTCATCTTTGATTTTTGAGGATTATGGAACAAAAATTGGGGGACAAAGCCACATATTTATGGAATATGGAAAAGATTTTTGGAACCCACTAAAAATCTTCTTGCATCTGATAAACTGACACTGACCTGGAATCACTGGGTACCAAAAGCAAATTATCTTTTCTATTTGTTATTATGCCACTTTAAATTGAAACACTAGACTTCTCAATTTAAATATATACTTTCTATTTGTTATGACATTTTTTTTTTTTAATCGCAATCACCACAAACAAGGCAGTAATGCCACTAAAATACAAGGGGTGTAGAAGAATTAGGAACAGAAACATTAATGATGAGCAAAAAGGTTTTATATTAAAATGTAGGTCTTCTCACTACAAATATTATTTCTTTCTTATTTGTTATTATGATACATTAAATTGAAACAACACATACACAATTTTTTTTTTGTCATCAGGGAAAATATTTTTTTCATGTTCAAAGCTGAGAGGTTCTCTTAGGCCTTCCTTCCCATTTTGTATAGATTTTAATCTGCTAAAACTATTACCAACATATTATTTGAATCAATTTTTGCCTTCATACTTTTAAAACCTCACATACTACATTAGTTATAGATATGCTCACATTATGATCCAGGATCCCAATTCACTTTGTTGATATTTGAATTCTTTAGTTTTTAATAATGATTTTAGTTTATACCAGACTTTAAAAATACCTGATAAAGCTTTTTGCTTTTGTGTGAAGTCAGTGATGCACTTTGTTTTTTTAAAAAAATATCAAATCTATGTTTTTGCTTTTAATTTATAACTGAAATAATTGCTAAAATTACAAAACTGAAATGGTGATTTAATTGATTGAGTCATTTATTGGAACTAGTTTCATGAAAAATAAGAATTCTTTATTGTAATATTTCTTAATCTATAAATGGGGAAATAATACCAACATTCTGAGGCCAACTCCTGTAACCTTCTTGTTTTTTTATTTAGCTGACATTTTTATTTATAGTGACAAGGGTAGTAACTCTTACTCTTCCACTATTATGTTTTCACTTTCAAAATTACAATAAATTTAGTAAATTATGTTTATGATTGCATTTTAGTCTTTTACTATCTTAAGCATTAATACACTAGTCATTGTTTAAGTGAAAATAGTAATGAAGTTTCAAAACAAACGAAAAATAGAAAAATAATACTGTCTCTACGAGGAAAAAAAATGTTAATTTTCAGGTTCCAGTTATTCACAAATCTAGTGCTTTCACAATGCTACTTACATGTCATAACATTGCTTATGCATTTATAAGTCTACTATTCATCCATGCATTGAATATTGTTGCCACATCTGGTCTGGTGCTTCTGCTATGTATTTAGAGATTTTTAATGAAATACAAAAAAAGAATATGCAATGTTATTGTATAACACTGCAGCACATCCTGGTCCCTGGCTATGTGACAACTGAAGCGGTGTATTGGTCACTTCAATCCAAGCCTCTCCCAGTCCCACGTTGTGTTTGTTTTGATCACAAGGCAGACAAGGATCACATCGTCGCCAGATATTGCTGGATTGGTATTATTCAGGCAGGATGATGTTATAAGACAAAAAAAAAAGAAGGTTGTGTAGATCAGTAAGGTTTATATAACTGATATTTATACAGGAACAATTTTTTTTGTATAAGAATCTACAAACATGTAGGCTAATGACCATTCCCTTGTAGTCTAATTTCATGACACTTTACTCTTCATTTCCAAGTCAGAGTCAAGGTTTCAAACTTAAAGTCAGAGACTCCTCAGGCAGCATATTGCAGAATACTGATGAAGCACTCATCTCTCTCCATCTGTCATTATATAGAGACTTTCAGGTCTTCCACTTTGCAATTTTATCTGTGCACTCTGTTCTGATGAGCTTTCCTCTTTGGTATCTAAACTTTATGAATTTAAGCGCAATATTAGATTGGCAGCAAGGTTTCATCATTTTACAGTTGAAATAGTGAGATGTAACTGTAAGTTCTATGCTAACAGTTTCTTCTCTCACTTGTGGAACTCTCTTCTAGCTTCTTGCTTTCCAGTCAACTTTGATCTTCCAAAATTTAAATCCAATATCAGTTGTTATCTTCTGTTTACTTAATTCCTATTCTTTTATTGTTCTCTCTCCTTAATGTTTTCTTTTTCTCATAAACATTTTTTTGAGTAAACCCTTGTGTCTTAGTGACTTTATTGCCCTGTTTGAGGTGAAAGGATTTAAAAATAGTCGTGTCTTATGAATTGTTATGAACTGTTACATATTTTCCTTTAAAGATATGTATATAGATTTCTACTCTGCTAAAATGTTCTGCTTTCTATCTATACTTTGTATAGGAGACTTTGTGCATATGGAAATCATAAAGAGGGTTCTGCTGTGTTATTCTCCTTCTGTGTTTTTTTTCTTGTGTTTCTACTTCATTTGATAATAGCACCTGACTTAGTTTTGATATTGAATCATCTTGGTGCTACCATCACTTGTACAATGTATATATTTCACTCCATTTATTATTATTATTATTATCAGAATCCAGGAGACATAACATACTGTATTTTCCAAATTCAGTGGTTTCACTTCTTGAGTTCTACATTTATCATAATAATGTTTCTGTTTAACTCTTACTCTATTACTGAATTCTTTTGGTCTTGCACAACAAGGTGGATTACTTTTTAAATTTTCTCTCTATTAGCACCAAATGATATGTCATATTTCTACTGACATGTTGTAATGAATCAATAATCCCAGAAACTGCTTGTTTTAGCTGCTGTTTCCTATAGATCTGGATAATTAGTGAAACTCAACACTAATTAGATAGTTTTTTATATTGTTGTGATAAAGGTCTGATGTTTGTTTATACTGTAGCTCTGAAGGTATTTTTATAACTGATGAGTGGCTGCTTTGGTTGTGTAAATCTGTCAAGTACATGTCACAATTCTCCACAACCTTGTCTATGTTTATACCTAGCTGAAATACAGATTTGCTTATACATTGTGTTTGCATTTTTCTTTGCTTTGATAATAAAACATTATATTCTAAGATTTGTGCTAAGCCTGGAGAAATCAAAACATATTCTCTTTTGATTAACAATTTATTTCTGTTGTTAACTGGGGCAAGGAATGGCTTGTTAATTTTAATGCCTCCAAAACAAAACCACTCTTTATTAATCATCTTAGAAAACCTTTTTTGCCTTCCATCAACATGGCTAATACTAACCTCCAAGTGAGTGATGCATTTCACCTTCTCAGATTAATATTTTCCACTGACATGAAATGGAGAGATTATGTCAAATAAATTGTTCAGTTTGTTGCAAGGAAAGTTGGTTTTCTGTTTTGTGTTAGACAATTTTTCTCACTCAAATCTATCTTACATGTTTACCATTCATCCATATTCAGAATATTGCTGCCACATATGGTTTGGTGCTCCTGCTATATATTTCAAAATCCTTGATAAAATACAAAGAAGAATCTGCAATGTCATTTGTCCTGACCTGGCATCTCAGTTTCAATCATTTTCCCACTACCATAAAGTAGCTTCCCTGTGCCTTTTCTACAAATATTTTCATGGTAATTGTTCTGATAAATTCTCCTCTATGTTACCTTGACTCTATGAATTTAAGCACAGTACTAGATTGGTGGCAAGATCTCATCATGTTACAGTAGAAATGGTTAGATATAAGCATAAGTTCTATGCTAACAGTTTATTTTCTTATACTTCTCACTTATGTAACTTTCTTCCGGTTTCTTGCTTTCCAGTCAATTTTGATCTTCAAGTGCAATGTCATTATCTTTTGTCTTCTTAATCTCTGTTCTTTTATTATTCTTGCTCCTTAATAATGTTTTCATTATATTCTTTCACACTCAGTAACCCCCTCCCCTGCCTTGTTGCCTTGCTTGGGGTGAAAAGATTTTAAAAAAAAAAAAAAAAAAAAGGAAAAAGAGTCATTCACTCATATGAATAGAAATTTATTAAATGTGTTGTTGACAAGATTTTGATATTTCTAACCTTGCCGGTTGGGATTTGTTGCATAGCAATTCCAATTTACTTGTCACATAGATTCATACTTTAAAAAGCTGTTTTGTTTTAATAACTGGCAACAGGTCTTCCATAAGCAGAGGAATAAATACCATTAGAATTTGTCATTAGCTACAGGTCAACCCTACTTAGTTCTGATCCTCTCCTCTAAATCAGTCTAAGGGGATAATGTTAAAGCAATTCTTTGATTCTGTTATTTATTTCAAGCTTAAAATTCCTTTTTTGTGTGACATTTGCTTTCAGATAATACTGCATATTAAAAAAAAAGAAAGCTTAGGAAACTTAAAATTTGTTTCTTTATTTTCAGACTAAAGACAGAGAAGTTGATTTTGATGTTGAAACTGCTATCAAAGTTTGCAGGCAAGCAGGCTACTATGAGCATGCTCTGTTCTTGGCTGAAAAACACAACATCCATGAGTGGTATCTTAAAATTCAGTTGGAAGACATTAAAGACTACAAGAAAGCTGTAGAATATATTGGAAAACTGAAATTTGAGGAGGTAAAATAAAGCATTTATTTTTAAGACATAAAATGTTGCACTATGTTTATTTAATCTCTACGTTAATTATTTTTGTATTTTATATTAAACATGTTCAATGATAGTTTTTGATTATAAACTAAAATGATTTTCATTCTCAATATTTTATGAGTCAGGCTCATTAATCATCATTTTTAGGGAAAAATGTTTTAGAATTTTAAAATATACTTCCATTACTGCTAGGCTTAGCACAGATGTAGTAAAAATCAATTTTGTGTAATATTTTTTAATTGCTTATCATATGCATGTATACAGAAATTGCAATCACTGTTGACAATATATACTCTGTTGTGATAAATTATTTGAATATATCTGTGTACCTGTTCTTATTTCAGTAGGTACTATGGCCTGGTTTTTAATTCTAAAACCTATTGCAATAATTTTAATATCTTTTTTTGACATAAAATATGAAATCATTATAAAACTTGATTTAAGTGTACAAATGTAATTTTTCTTTTTCTTTCATGCTATTTTGTTGCAATGAAAGCAAAAATTAAACTTGAAAGATGATATTGAAATTATTGCAGTTTGTTATGAAATTAAAAAAATAAATGCAGATAGATCTTTTTCAGTCAATGTCTATATTATTTTTACATTGACCTAAGTTATGGAGATGAGGAAAAATTGTGTACTTTCATGAAAAAATATTCTATATAATTCAGCAGTATTATCTAGTGAGACTGATTGAGTAAATTCTGTTACAGCTAGAATTAATATCCTTCTGTTTTGTCTTTTAAGAGATAAATCTTGCTTTTGTATTTTATCAATTCCAAAGATCATGTGTGCAACTTCATCAGAATTATTTTTTATCTGCCTGCATTGATTCATCACACATGCATCAAATGAAAGTGATGATTTGAATTCAGCAATTTTCAAACCTTTTGCAATAATTTTTATAAGCATTTTATAAAAATGGTTTCCTTCTTTCTTATTCAATGCTGTTTGTTTTTTAATATTTTTCACTTAAAAGGCTGAAGAGAACCTAAAGAAATATGGCAAGATCTTGATGAGTGAAGTTCCCCAACCTACAACTGAATTGCTTAAACAGCTATGTACAGATTATCGCCCTTCTGACCGTAAGTATATTTTTCTGTTTTTTTTTTTTTTAGAGGGTTTTTTTGGGGTTTTTTTTTTTAACAAAAATTCCATTTTTAACCTTTAGCACTCTGCATTATTAATCTTTTCTTTTTTTTATGGCCTAATTTCACTCAAAGTTGTTTTCTGTTGCCATAGCAGGATATGACAACACAACTATGAAATTCAAATACACTATTATTCAGGGCTCAGAGCCACCTTCAGTAACCAGATAAACTTTTGTACCACAAATGTTCTCTCATACAGAGTGATAATGGTTAAAGAAATACATTTTCACTTGATTAGAAGCTCGGGCTCTTATCACTAGAGCTACAGCAGGAACAAGCTTTCTTAAATCGTTTTGTAGAAGATATTCTCTTTAGAAAAAGTGGTATATTGTACATATGGTTAAATGAATCTATATAGAACTAGTTTTTGTTTGTCCACCAAGGTTAAGTAATGTTGACAATGTCAATGCTCAAGTGGGTGACCAAATTCTTTTGATTGCATATCTTTGCAAAGTTCGATGAAATTTTTAGCTACAATCTAAATTGTACTTTAGCAAACAAAAAAAAATGAACCTAAATTTAGAATGAAAAGGAAAGACATAATCTGTTTTCCTCTGTAAGTGCTGGACAATATACTCAAAGATGAAGAAGAGACTTGAAATGTTCTACTGAAGAATGCTGAGAATACCATGGACTGAACATGTGAGCAACGACAAAATTTTGGAGAAAAAGGAAATTAATATTTAGCATCAGGAAGCAACTGTTGAGGTTTCTAGGGCACATAATGAGAAGGGAGGGCTTGAAAAATCTGATACTCACAGGACATATAGAGGGCAAGAGGGACAGAGGAAAATAATGCATAACATAGTGAGCTTGAGTAGGTGGATGGCAGAACAGGGCTTAGGCGAAATAACAGAAAGACAAAGTTTATTAAAACCTACAGAGGACAGGAAATTGTGGGGGGAGGCCATGATCGCCTATGTTCTGAGACGACATGTCCCATAAAGAAGCAAAGAAGTGCACTTTTGATTTTTGTATTAAAAATACTTAAAGTAAATGTTTTCCTTTATTCCAAATATTTTTTGGACAGTCTAGAACCAAGGCTATAACTACAATCTAGATACTATTATTTTAAAATATTAGTTGCTTTAAACAAAATCTTGGTTTAAGTAACTGATGAATTGAAGAGGCTGTAGTGGGAAATCAGCATTTCTTAAAAAAATATTGTGCTTATTGCCATGAATTTTAGTGGGTAGATTGAATGTTGTTTGTTTATTATCTCTGTCTACTTCTATTAATCTTTCTATAAAGATTATGTTCTGTTTTGTTGGATAGAAAATTGTTTTAGACTTTTATTTAGTAAATAAAATTACCAGTTAATTAATAATTAGAAATATATTTTTAATTATTCTTTTCTTCAGTAACATAACTCAAGGTTTCAAATTTTCAGTTTCATATGCTTAATCTAGAAATTTTAGATAATTAAAAAAGATTCACCAGAATAAATCAGTTATTTTCTTTACTTTTTTATTACAAATTGTTCACCTAATTACTTTCAGAAAATATATAACAACTTGATTCATGAATATTGAAATTATCAGATTGTCATGAAATAATTATATTTCTGAAGATAACTAATAAGCTCAATAATTTTAAAAGCATACAAAATTCCTTAATGTTGCAACATTTATTTTATGACTTTTATGCAAACAAAACAATTTCTGTATGTTTTATAACTTTTCAAAATGCAGTGTCGGAGTCCAAGACATTTCTAAATGTAAAATTTCTCAGGAAAAATATCAGAATATAGTAATGTACAGAATTCTTCACAAATACACAAGTGAATTTTTTTATAATAAAGAATTTTTATTAAAATGATCTTGCTTAAAGAAGAGCATAAAATTCTTGTTTCAAATTTGAAAAATTTAAAACTAAAAATAAAATTTGAATATTTTGCAGAAAACTATAAAATAATTTAAAAAAAAACAAAACAAAAAGAAGTTATTATAATTATTATTATATTATTAATAATAATAATATTATTATTTGACACTATTACTAAGAATTATTATTATTTGACACCGTTACTAAGAAAATCACTAATAACTGGATTCTTAATTATCAACAATTATGAAAGTGTTGAATTTATCCTTGTCATAATTTTCAACATAAATGAAAATAGATTTTTAAAAGAAATTAGGAAGAAAATGCAGATTTTTAAAAGAAATTAGGAAGAAATGCAGCATATTGTTTGTTAATTTTTATGTGAATTTACAAAATCCACTCAACATGCAAGGATTGAAAACAACATTGCCACCTCATGAACCATAAAATATAGACTAAAGTTTCCATTGATTTTCTTCCAATGAAGTTGTCTTATCATTTTCTCATAAGTGAATTTTTGTCTAGATATGAACAAATGCATTTAATACTCAGTATCAGTTATTTAAATAGACTATAAATATGTAGAATGTAAACTTAAATGTAGTTTTTCTAGTTGCATTACAACAGGACTGTCTTTACTAAACTATAAGATGTAATTAACACTGTGTATCTCTAGCTATTGCTATTTTAAAATGAAATATTCTGGGCTCATATCTTGGATAGCAAACTGTTTATATATACCATGCCATGCCACCAACTGTTGTCATTAATTCCAATTATACTTGCATGAAATTTGGATAAAACATTTGTATTCCCAGATTATTATACAAAAAAAAATAGCTATTGGAATTCTGGGGATGAAAAGACAATCCTTGTATTTATCATGTAGTTTAAAGTTATCTTAGAAGAAATGAACTGTATAAGTCTCTCGGAGAGAGAGAATCAACCACATATACATGTTCTTAGTTTGGTAAATCCAGTGCTCCAGACTATTGAAAAAGCCCTTTTCAAAACCAGATAACCACTTCGTTTTCACTTATTTAGGAAGAAGCCACTTCCTCAGTTATTCCAGAAGCCTCTATGCCCCCCCTTTCCTCTTAGTTGAAATTTTTCTTATTTATTTACAGAGCCTTTAGTTGATCAGACTGTTTTGGATGGTAAGTGTGATAAAAAATCTTTTCACATCTTGAACATCTGTTTCCTATTTCAACATCCAACAGAACCATTCACCATTGCTTTCCTCATTGCCTGTTCTTTTTCTTGCATCCATTTGCTTCTTTCTACATTAGTTCTGTAGTTGCATTGGATTTTTTTCTCTCCTCCTTCTCATTGATCCTTTTCTGCCTTATGCATCCCAAACTACAACTTTGAAATTCAAATTCACTTTCACATAAGATGTTTCAATAATAAACAAATATTTCCTTTCCATACATTCACAATTTTCCCCTCTCTCTTTACTAATTCCTATTTCTTCTTACTAATGTAAATGTTCACATCTAGAATGCCTTATAGTTTATGGTTTATATATAACCTTATCTTTCCAATTTTGATAATACTTATAATCTTAACACTTCAGTATTATTTCTCTTATAACACACATTTTTGGTTTAACTAAAGAAATTTTCCTGAAATCTGAATCAGATTTAGTTTTCTTGTATATTTTTAATTTCAGATAAGTTCTTAAATTCATTCTAGCTTGTTGAAATTGTGTAATGTGTTTTAACATTACTTTTACAATGAAGATCACGTTTTCATGCTCAAGTAAAGATATGAAATTTTGAGATGTGATGAACAAAACAATGCAAACATTATCAGATAAGTGAATATATTGTCTGAATAATTATCATTACACATTTATCTTTAGTGCTAAAAGTAACTTATGTATTATAAATTTCTTTTATCCTTTATGAATATATCAAAAAATAATTCTCCTGATCAATATAGCTGATGACAATTACAGTCAAATAATCATTTGGTCTCTCACTTGCTGCATTAGCTTTTATAAGAGGATTTTATTAATAATGGCAAAATATGACCTGTCCATTGTATCCTTATCTTCAAAATTATATTGCTTTCTATTTCTTTATCATCCAACTCTTGGTAATGCTATAAACTATTGATGATCTTAGTTGTCTGAGGATGGGGCTAATATCTTCAAGATATCAAAGAACTAAATACAATACTTAAGCTTTTGTTGATTCTCCACTTCTCTATAACACTTTTAGCATGTCCAAGATTTGCAGTTTTAGATAAACATTTGTAATATTATTGTACTATGATATATGTAATTAAAATGTTGCTGATGCCTTTCAAGGGTAAGTAATCGATTTGAATTAATTAATATTGATTCATCACACATCATTTATTAATATTAAAATGTAGGCAGTTGTTAAAATTATAAAAAAAGTGGGTAACAAACAAGTGAACACCAACATTTAAGTGTTTTAAATATTTATATATGAAGCCCTGTTAATTTTATTTAATTAAATATTGGTTTAATTATTTATGCCCTTAATTCAGCATAATCTGTCTTTGTATTTAGTTCTGTTTGAAATAGCCTAAAGCTAATCTGAATTAAAAGAAAAATGAATTTCCATATATAAATAAACTTTTTAGGCTTTTTTAAAAATTGGTACATTTTTTTGTCACTCATCACTATACAAAGAATTTAAACAAAATTTAAAATTACCTTTAAAATCAAGTATTTGTCCTAGAGATGTGTTTCAAATTATAGTGTAAATTTAATTGCATTAGATTAATAATTTGAAATAAAAAAACATTTACCATATAGTTGTGAATAAGTGCAACTCCTGAATTATTTTGATGAATTTTAACCTCTCCAGAAAAAATATATCTGCATATAGTGCAACCAGTCACTGAAAATGGGTGATTTTTAACCTCTTTAAAAACAAATATATCTGCATATAGTGCAACCAGTCACTGAAAATGGGTGATTTTTAACCTCTTTCAAAAAAAATTATCTGTGTATAGTGCAACCCACTATTTTTTACATAAAAAAAATATGACCATTAAAACATGCACTCTTGAGTATATACGGTATTCTAAGAGTAAATTTTAGAAAAATTACAATATTCGTTTTTATGCAAATGAAATAGTTTCATTATAATTCTGAAAATGTTCTTGGTAGCAAGGGGAACAAATTATGCAGGAAAAAATAAGACAAAGATTTTTTTTTAAAATAATAAAAACTTAAAATGACAACTTACATTTAATTACTGACGTAAGTATTTGTTATTCTTATATACAAGAATCTATAAATAAATGCAGGAAAACAGGGAAAAGCAAAAATAAACAAAAAATAAATACCCATACCGATAAATTCAAGACACACAAAAAGTGACTGAACAGAAGATATGAAATAAGATTAATATCATAATACTCTTCCAATATTGAATAGTAGTCAGTCAAAGTGAGATATCAGAGTTATGCCCTTTTTGTACATCCATACAATATATAATCTATACAATTGAAAATGGTATTAAACTTTACATTTTTTGCTTCTTATGTCATTATTTAATAAAGGAAACTCTTGTGATGAACAGCAACAAGATAAATTTCAAAATTGCACTGAAAAATTATCGAGAAAGGTCTTTCTGTTGAGTATTTTGGGAGTTCATGGTTCTGCTCTATTTGCAGGAGAAATTCATAATAAATTGATCTCTCAGGAAGTAGCTGATGTCTAAAATCAGTTTCTAACACTGCTACAGTTATGTATTCGATATATTTCATAGTTATAAGTTTCCAGTATCCCATAAGACATGACTTTATATGAAGAAACCCTTAAGAAGAGTGTTTGTAAAGTTTGTGCCAAAAATGTACACAAATAACATAGATCATATATGATAGGAACTACCAAAATGGATGTTTGTTTTTTGTTTTTTTCTGAAATGAAAGCAAAATTGCTACCCACTATTTTATAGTATTTGCCAAAATTTTCAGTGCTTATTCCTTAATGAATGAATATTTTACTTAATAGTTTTTTTTTATTTAAAAAACTTTGATAAAATATTTTTAATACAAAACAGCATCTATAACAATAATGACTTAATGATTCGAGAATTATTGCACAGAATCATTTTGCAGAATGAGAATGTAACACTGATTAGAAAAAAAATATTTATTTTTTTACATATTTTTGGAGATGTCTGTTAAGTGTCAAGTAAAAAGAAAAGATTCACCTTTTCTAAATCCAGTGGTCATGAACAAAGAGAAATTGAACCTTTCATCAATGATATGATAAAGCAAATCTTTGATATACTGAAAATGTATGGTTTTAAAGTATAGTTTATATATCTGAATATCTTCACAGCAATCTAAGATAGGTTTCTTTTCTATTTGTCTTTTGTTGTATGAATTCACTGAATTTTATGTCCAATTTTACTGCTGGACCTCTTTTCTCATGTAAAAATATCTGTTTCATATGGAATATATTTTCAAAAAGATTTTTTATCAGTTCTTTTATAATTTTGGATAACTTTAATTATAAAATGCTTAATTACAGCCTGTACTTCACAGTTTGAGAAATTTTATGCTATTGTTTTTCAAGTATTATCTCCTTTTAAAGTAATTACACAATTTTCACTGTAATTTATGGCTTTCTTTAAATAATATTATAAAAGTAATGTATTTTAATACATTGTAAAAAGATTAAATTTATGTGAATAAATGATTTTATAAAAAGGATAGGACAAAATGTATTATAGTCATGTAGAAACTTGCCCATTAACAGATATTTGCATCAGTTCATTCTTTGGCCAGATTATTTAAAAAAGCATTCTAACAATTGGCAAAATAAGTGATTGATTAACCAAAGATATTTTATAGTAGATAAAACTAAACATAATATCAGTGACCACTAATTGCAGTTATTAGCTGTTAAGAGATGTGGCATGTTTATTAGCTAAGTATTTTTAAAAAGTGGAAAAAAAAGTCAGACAAAAAGATTGTTCTTAATAAGTTCAGAATAACTAAAATGGCATCATAAAATGTTTTGAAACCAAACAAAAGTAGCTGAAATGAGAATGTCAGCATGAAAATGAATGAAATTTGAGTTGAAACTTTTCCTTATGAGATTTTTTTTTTTTTAAATAAAAATATGAATTTATTGCCTTGCAAAGCTTTTTTTCTTTTTTTTTTCCTTTGTCTTCTATGACTTTGCGAATTAATCTTTTATGACATTGCCATGACTTTTATTGAATTCTGCATGTTTGGAACAATGCTGAAAGTTTTTTTTTCATTTTAACACTTCTTTTTGGGATTTCTTGATTATTTATCTGAACATGTAAAAAGAATTCTGTTTTTTTTTTTCTTCATAATTGTTTATAGATTTTAATTTTAGTCTTTCTTTTAGAGTTTGGCAGAATTTGATTCAAGAGAAAAATGTTATTATTAAAGTTTTGGTTTATTGCATTTTGTACCAGTACATTCTGCAAAATAAAATATTATAATGTCTAATTTAAAACTTGGCAACTAAATTCGCATTGTCTATTTTCAGCCTTTTCTTTAATGAAGCAAGTTTTTTTTAACTCTTCAAACTTTACATTCAAGTCCCATGTACTATATACAAGAACAGAGTTAGAAGCCTAGGTAAAACCTAGGGGAAACCATCATTAGATCTTGACATGTTTTAATATCTCGGCTACAGAGTGCATTGACGACCAAGCAAAGTTGAATAGTAATGCAGATTTGAATCCTGTCAGAGAACGCATATTCAGGCCAGTAGATAAATAAATATACTGTTTAATAAATAAACAGAGCGTCTACTCAAATACAATATCTACTAAAAATAACATTCAAGTAATAAAAATCTGTGGGATTAATAAATAAAAAAATCCATCCTTTTCTTTAGAAATTGCTTTGTTTACATTAGGGTATGAAAATGAGCCAAATGTCTATTTCAAGAGTCAGAAAAATTTGTGTTTAAAGGCACTATTCAACTTTGCTTGGTCATTGACACACTCTGTAGCTGTGAGGCCAAAGCATGTCAGACCTAACGACAGTTTCCTTTAGGGGAACACAGGTTTAAATCCTGCCAGAAAGCACATATTTTTCTCTAAGATTTCTTGTTTATTCAGGCTGGTAGATGAAAATAAATAAATGTACTATTTAATAAAGAAACAGAGCATCTACTAAAATATGAGTATCCACTAAAAATAGCATTTAAATAATAAAATATATAGGAAACACAGTTTAAAGATATTTTTTTAAATTTATGTTACTGTTTTATATTGATGTAGAACAAATGCTTCATTATTGCAAAATGCATTATTATTATTATATAAATTTTCTGCTTTTACTGTAAATTATGTGTTTTATATTACAGGTGGAAGTCCTAAAATTCAGAAAGCCTTTGCAGAAGAATTTATTCATATTTTTGTAAACAGTTCTGCTCGATTGACTGAATTCTTGGAACATATGATTAAGGTGGGTAAGACTAATAATTATATTTTAAGCAAACCATTTTTTATCTTTTTGCATCTCATAGATGTCAGTATGTTTTAATATGCTATTTAATCTTTTATAATTTGTCTTTTATATGTAGCTACTTTTTTATTTAGGACTAACAAAGATATTAAATGATGATAAAGTTGTTATCTGGTTCTGTGACATTGTCAGAACAAAGTTAATACTTGTATATTATGTTATGGATACCATATCTTAAAAAGTTCAGTGTGCATGATTGTACATTGTATAGGAGATAGAGAACTGATTTATGTGTCATTGTTAATAGAATCTAGGGAGAGATCACATTACTTTAAATTTTTTCACAAAGTTAATTTTTGCTTTTTAAAAATTGCAGAAAGCTAACATAGTAAAGCAAAAATAATAATTTAAAAATAGTTCAAATATGTTGCAGTATAATTCTAAATTTGTTATGAAACTTCCTTGTCCTACACAAATATTTATTTTTGTTTAATTTATAAAACATGTATAAGACATTGTTCTTCATTCTTGACATATGCACACATATTCTCTGAAACATGTTAACTGTTGAAAAATTTTATTTTCTAAAAATGCTGTTTACAATTAAAGAGATGTTGTTACCATCAATTACCATCTAACTATTTACCAAAAATGTTTTAATCCTTTTTATATAGAAGGAAATAAAAAAATACATTTCTGGCAATATTTAATAGTGTGTCAAAAGGATGGTTATTCCCTTGACTCCATTATTACTGTATACACTTTTTCTCTCTCAACAATGTTTGTTTTAAAAAGGCAATGATTAGAATTTTAATAAAATTCAAACATATGAAAGGGAATTTATGCATTTTCTTCATTCTTGAGAAATGACAACAAAGATATTAAACACTATTTATTTATTAGATGGCTTATTTAATCTTTCATCAGATTTTCTAGGCATTTTTTTTAAAATTAGCAGCAATTTAAAAAATTTTTTCAAAATAAATGTTACCTTCTAGTTGGTTTACATATTTTCATAATTTTGTAAATTTTTTTATAAATTTTTGAATAAAAAGATTTCTTTTTAAATTTATTTCTTTATAAAATAGTAAATAAATCTTTATAAAAGGTAAATAATAAATATCAAATTGTACTTGGTTCACATATTTTATAATCTTTTAAATAAACATTGCTGAAGAAGTCAAAATTCTATACAATAATAGTGGTGTTAAAGGAATAACAGTCCTTTTGACACACCATTTTTTTTTTTTACTTGAATCATTTGCATTTCAAAAATCTTGATTATTGTGTGTGATTTCTAATTTACTTATATTGTAGGTTCAGCCTAATTCCCCAAGTTTGTTGTACAACACTTTATTGGAGCTTTACTTACAAGATACAATTCATGAGACAGAGCCAACGGTCAGTTAAAAGAGATTTTATTATACTTTGATGAAATAAAAATACTTGAACCATGAAAGTTATTTAAAATCAGGATATCTATTTTGTTTAGTAAGGAGTTCTATTTCTTCAAAAGCACTTTGATTTTTTTAACATTTATTTAACAGCTATTTTATATAAACAGATACACTACCAGCTGAATGGTAGTGTTCCTCATAATGTCTGTTGTTATATACAAATGTGATTCTATACTTTAGATGGAATAACTTCAAATTACAGAAATCCCTTGATTAATGTGCACTCAATTAGTGTACTAAAATTTTTTATACCAACATTTGATTAGTGCATGCATAGTACTTGATTAGTGTGGTAAAACATTCTTCAGTTAAACCATGATTTTTTTATAATTACCAATTAATTAAAAATTTTCTAAAATTTAAAAATGAAAAATGGGTAACTATTTTGTTTGTCAAGTATTATGTTATCCAAGTAATTACAGTAATGTTCAAAAAAATGGATGGTTAGAAATAGTTAATTTTTATAATATAAGCTGATAATAAAAATACATACTTGAATATTTGTCTCTCTTAAAAAATTTTTCACATTTTGATTTTTTTTTTTTTTCATATTTATTTTGATGGCCTTTAAAGGAAATTTCTGATTTTTTTATTATAAAAAAAAAAAAAACATGTACAATTTAATTAGATTCAGAAATTTACATTTATTAAAAAATATCGAAATATAAAAGATGTATGCATTTACTATGGAAAGATGATAAATAAAATTTTCAGGTTAAAATATTAATGATTATGATATGCTTGGAAAATTTCAAAAAATAGAAAATATACATAACATAAGGTTCTTTTTAAAAAGATTAAATGAAGACTACTAGACTGGGCATCACTGTCACCCAATTAAAACCCTATTGAAAATATATGGAATCGAATAAAAAGAAAAATGGAAGGAAAAGTTTTTAAAAATATCAGTGAATTAAAAGAAGAAATTATAGATATTTGGAATAAGATCAATAAAAATTTAATTTCTAAGCTAATTTTTTTGAAGCAAAGACATTGAAGAATGTGAAGAAACCGTGCCTAGCCACCAGCATAAGAAGATGACAAAGAAGAAATTAGAAGAATTTTTCAGGGTCATTGAAGAATTTAAAGGAAGCATCAAAGCACTCTAAATAAGTTTTTCACAAAAAATTAAATTAATAAACATTAATTCATAGCATTTTTAGTGTATATTTTTATATGTACCTATATTTGAATTAAAAAGTATGCAAATTAGAAATTAATTGTGAATGAAACTAAAATTTGAGATACAAATTACATCATTTCCTATAAGTTATTATATTCGATTAATGCGTTTTCAATTAGTGCATATCTTTTAAAGTACACATTAGCCGCACTAATAGAGGGATTACTGTATATTTATGCATTAATATAATGTCAGCTCATATTGTAAGGAATTTCAGAAAAATAAGATTTTTTAAGAACAGGCAACATATATTATTATTTTGACTATTATCATTTTAATTTCCATTGTTTTTTTTGTTTTAATAGTATCACAAGAAAACGTAATATAATATTTTTGTAACTCTATTTAGAACCTTTTTGAATAATAATGTCTCAGTCAAACACAAAAATTTAGTTTAGACGTCTTAAGGTGAAAGAATAATAAATACGGATGTATATTGATTTTGGGATGAGGGTTAGAAAGATGTAGCAAGTAAGAAATATACAGATTAAAAATTTTAAAAAAACCAAGACACCAAGAATAATCCTGAATAATGTGATTTTTACATAAACAAAGATATCTAACCACTTGAGATGTTCATCGAAAATACAGAAACCTAAAATATTGGGATAATAAGAACAGTGATAAGGATATTAGCCTGAGTGTAAATAATGTAAATGTCTCATTCCAGAAATTCAGATAAAATTAAAAATTTTTAAGTGTTTAAAATTATAAAATGGTTCAAAGTAATTTATAATTCTCTATTGAAACTTACACTTTAAAAATGATGTATTTTCTTAATTTGGAAGACGATTTAGACACATTTAGTTTACAGCCAGATTTAAGCATGAGTTGAAATTTGATGAATTAATTACCAAAGTTTTATCACACGGATTGAATTTTTAGTTTCCTTTTGGCTTTAGTTGCCAGAAAATAACATAAATTTTGTTGTAAAAAAAGAAAAAATTCTTTCATAGACTTAAATCAGGTTTTAGAATGATTTAATATTTTGTTATGAAAAAAAAAAGAAAACATTAAAGTTACTGCAATATGAATTAAAATTAAAAACCAATCCATAAGAATACGTACTGAAGTAAGAACAACATACAAATTCACAAACAACAGAGTATATATTGTCAGTTTATGTATACAAACATATGATGGGCATTTTAATTAAAAACATGAGTGTTGCTAAGAGTTGAATAAGGAAATTTGTTGTCATTGCTATGGAAACAGTATCACTCACTGATTATCAAGGTTTCACTGATGGTTATTAGATTTAATTTAATCAGAAATGATTTCTTTAATTCAATCTTAAAATTTACTTTTAATTTTGTATCTATTTTATCAGATATAAAGATAAAAACTTGTCCCACTTTTATTGCACTTAAACCAAAAAGTCAAATATTTATTCCCTCCTCCCAAAGTAAACCAACAAAAACAAGTGTCCACTGGTCACTTTTTCTTCTGGAACTGAATCCAGCATTGTCTTTACATATTTCCCAGTCAACAGTGGAGTGATTCATTTACAAATCCTCAAGAGATCCAATGTCATAAACATTGAAGTTATGCTGCAAAAGGCTCATCTGCACTGGGCAGAAGCCATATGACAAAAACTTTGTTTTCAATAAACTAATCTCTGAACCACAGAGCAGTATCACAGAAGAGCAATAGAGAGAGTCCCCACCTTAAAAAGGACCCCCATCTCTTGTGGAATCAATTGCAACAGAAGCTGCCATCAAGGGGACGGATTTTCTCCTGTAGCCTAATGTTCCTCATAGTCTTTGTCAGTTATCAACAGACGTGCAATACATCTGGTGAACCTTCTTAAATCCTAATTTTGGAAGCCAAGTCAGTATAAGTGTGCGTGTAAACTTGAAAACCAATGCCAAAAATGATTAAATATGTTTACAAATGTGTAAAGTTAATTTTTAGACATTATTTTTATTTAATTTCTTTTTAATTATAATTTTTATTTCACTGTAGTAATGATAAAATAAACATTCAGTATTTGGTTTTTTTTTTTTTTTTTTTTTTTTAACTCATTCAAATATTTTTTGTATAAATATAACCAGTAGGCATCTCAAATCCCATCATTATTAGCTAAATTTATAAAAAAAAACAAGACTTTGCACCCATAATCAGCAAAATAGTTCTTTATTTATTTTTATTTTCTTTTTTCATATGATGCTGGACATGGGCTTGGCTTACTGGTTTGTTTTTTAAGAATGAACCAAATAATACGGTATAATTTTCAAAAAGCTCTTTTCTTAAATTTACTAATAATGCAAGCAATTTCTCATGTGAATGCTTTTTTCCTTCCTTTCTTTCTGAAATTAGCATTATAAACATATTGCTATCATCTACCGGGTTATGACAAAAGTTAAGCAAATACTTTTTAAGCTGCTAAAGGCCAAATGTTTTTCAGTTTTTAAGCTCAAGTATCATTGTTTTTCAAAAAATATTAGGAATTCTTAAAAGTTAATATTTCTTTGTGGTGATAAATTTTATATTTTTCAATAGCTGTCAATCAATTTGAATTATTTCCAAGTGAGTACATTGTACAATTCCTCTGTGAAATTATTTTTTATTTTCCTAATAAGTCAGTGAAACAAAATAAATACATGTATTTTTTCCACAAACCAATCATACATTTATAACTTCAATGATGTTGGGGTTGATGATATTTGCTCTTGGCTTGCACTACAATTTTTAACAAATGTTTTTTATATCTGTCTAAATTTTTTCCCATTTTTTCATTCAATTACCCACTATAATTGTCTAAACAAGAACTATATTATTCATTTTTCTCCTTTTATAAAAATCAAACCAAATATTGTTTCTTACAAAATATTTATTTTGTTAACAAGAAATATTGCATTGAAAGAAATTCCTCTTCCAAGCTTATTGCTAGAAATAATTATTCATATATTTATAATTTAAATTTTTTTGTAAATTTTATTTTCAAATAAAAATTTTAATCTTCATAATTTTTTCCTCTATTCCCCTATATAATAATAATTCTATTATCATTCAAATAGCTTTAATGATAATTTTATACTATTTATTTATATATGTTCCTTTCATGAGATGGTGCCTCAATAAATGCGCTCAGCCTCCTGTACTGTGAAATAGATTAGCCTATTGCCTGGCCAGTACTCCTTCCATGTTCAATGAACAGGAGTATAGGTTCATCCCTTGTTTCCTATTTAGAATATGGCTCACCAGTGCCTTTCTTCTGTGGACTTAATGATTTAACTGTCTTAACTTTTTGGTGATCTGACTGAGGCTGCAACTTTTCTTTATAAGGGTATCAGGTTGGAAGTTTTCTGGTTGCTGTATCTCAACTAGTAGTAAGGAGCCCAAACTTTTTGGTATCACTTAGAAAGGCTGCTCTGGTCAACAGTCACAATAATCAGGATATTTGCCCTGCCATGTCATGCAGGGATAGGTGTCACTGCATGTACTTCTACATTATGCTTTAGTCTTAGCCATCTTATGGCCAGTTTGTATTGCCATAGATGATGAACAGTGATAATTATTTTGGCCCTTTTCTCCTTAAAATATAATCTTCTTATTACAATTAAAATAAATACAAGTAAACCAGTAAACAAAAAATTCACTACTCCCTCCTCTTAGCCTTACTTTTTTCAATATTTGTGGTATTCATTCCAATTTCTGTAATGTAGAATCTTTTCTCTTGAATCATTCTCCAGAATTTAAATTCTTTTATCACTATCAGCAAATTCTCTTCCTCTTTGTTGAAAAGATTCTAAGATACATATGCATGGCCTTGGTGCTTACATCCAAGAAAATCTTCCAATGTCAAGGGAATTGTTTTTTGAGTCCCCACATGATTCTTTCATGTGCTTTCAACTTTCATTATTGCACTCTGTTAGTTATCTCTTTTTTCCTTTAACACTTCTCTTCTACTCAGGACTGTAACATATTAGACAAAAGTATCTGACAGTATAGAAATGGCTCTCTCTCTCTCTCTCTCTCTCTCTCTCTACACATTCATCTGCAAGCATTTTTGTGTTTGGTGATTTTAATGCTCATCATGCCAAATGGCTTCATTATTCTCATGTTACTGATGTTGTCAGCATTCAGACTTTCAATTTTTCCATTGCTTAGACTCTAAGTAAAGTAGTGGATTTCCCTACTCATTTCCCTAATTATTCTGATCAACATGTTTCTTTATTTGATTTGTTTCTAACCCCCTCTCTTAGCTCTAGTCAAGCATTGCAACTCTGTCCTCTTAGCAATTCGGATCACAATGTAGTATCTGTTGATATTTCCTTTGAGTTGCCTGTTAAACATGAACCTCCTATTCATAAGACTTCCTTCTGTTACAAGCGTACTGATTGGGATTCATTTTGTGAATTTCTTTGAGACGCCCCTTGGATTGATATTTTTAACCCTCCTATTGAGAATTGTGCTACTGAAATTTCTTGTTGGGTTAAAGAAGGCATCAATGCTTTTGTACCTTCTTGGAAATACCAAGTGGAACCACAATCTTCTCTTTGGTTCACACCTGCCTGTTCAGCTGCTATAGCCCACAGGAATCACTTTTTCTGATTGCACCAGCATAATAATTCTGATCACAATAGATACCTCTGTGTCTTCTTGTAATAATTGTAAACATGTTATCAAAGAGGCTAAGTCTTTGCTGACAGAATGAGGTGCTGTATAGCCTCTAACAAGTTTAGTTCTCATGAATACTAGTAGCTTTGTAATAATGTGTTAAGTGTAAGTCTTCTATCCCTCCTCTCTTCACACAATTTTAGGTGTTAATGTCTTTTGATAAAGCAGAATGTTTTGCTCATAAATTCTCTTCCAATTCTACTCTTGACTCATCTGGAGTATCTTTGTCTAACTTTTCACTTAGAACAGTCTTTCTATTGTGCAATATGCATATAACACCATGAATGGTTTTTGCTATCATCTTTAAACTGAATACCCACAAGGCATGTAAACTTGATGGGATCCCTGCAATAGTCTGTAAGAAATATGCCCTTGAACTGGCTCCTGTTCTCTTTAAACTACAATAAATACCTTGCTGCTTCTTGCTTTCCTGTTTGGAAATCCTCTTTAAGAACTCAGATGAACTGTCTAATCCTTCTCGCAGCCTATTAGCTTTCTATCTCTTTTTGGCAAAGTACTAGAGGCTCCAATCAACTCTGAATTAGTTAAGCATCTCACTTCACAGGATCTTCTTTCAGATAAGCAATATGGTTTTCTCTTCTCTAGGTCAACTGCTGATGTGTTAACAGTTATGTTGAAAGTGTCTATCAAGCTTTAACTAAGAATGGTGAAGCTCAGGCTGTTGCCTTGGATATCACAAAGTCACGTGACAGGGTTTCGCATGCTGGTCTTCTTCACAAATTGAACAGTTATGGTATTTCGGGACAAATTTTTGATTTGAGTCAATCTTTCTTATCAAATCGCAACATGGAAGTTGTCTTGAATGGCCACTCTTTTAGATTTGTTTTCATCAATACAAGTGTTCTCCAGGGCCCTATCCTTGGACCTACATTGTTCCTAATTTTTATCAATGACCTTCCTAATGTCATCAGTTCTCAACTTGGTATCTATGCTAATGACACAATTATTTACTCTTGTCTTGTGGCATAACTTAAGTGTATTAAATTACAGATCTAACTAATGACTTTATCCACTGTGCTATGTGTACTCGAGGACACATGGCACAGTGACAGGACCCAAAGAGTTGTGAATTCAATACCTGGTTAAGGCAGTGAAGAAAATGGAGAGGCAAATTAACAGGAGATAACTGATAACTGACATCCATTAGACATGACACATGAAACTAGAACAGTCTACCTCAGTGAGCAAAATAAAGGGTTCAGTTCGACATTCCAACCACCTGAAGAAGGCCAGCGCATACAACGGATGAAACATTGTGATAAATATGGCAACAAAGATGAGGACAATAGTTCAAATAATGTAAATAGTGTACATAATACCTCATCTCAGAAATATAGACAGATACCAAAAAGACATATTCGGTATGTGCAATCAGGTTCATTGTTAAGTCAACTGGCTTTTGAATAATTTTGAATAAACCTTTTCCAGTTAGTTGCCAAATTCCCTGACAAAAAACATTTTTGCAGTAGGTTGGACATTTGCTGTAAATTGCCTTTGTTTGTCATGTCCTTGTTCAGAATTTTTTTGAACTAAACATCTTTTTTAACAAAGAAATCAAATTTGCTTTTCTTTTTTTTTTTTACTTTATAAACTGTAGTTTAAATGCAAAGAAAAAAAACGTGACTTAGAATTTCTTGTAAATTTTTATTTTACTCCTCTTATATATACCAATGCTTTTCTTTTTTTTTCCTTTTTTTTTTTTTGTGGTAACATTTTTTCTTTCTTTCAGACACTGTGGTATAAGTTCTTCTTGATAACATGTGGCATAATTTAAGTATTAAATTATAGGAGGAGGAAATAAGAAAAGATGAAGTCTATAACTGTTTTGAAATCCAAACTTGTTAACATGTAGAATTTAAAATTGTTCCCCTTCACATTGACGCTTCATTTTTATAGCAAAGGCAGATACCATTTCTTGACAAGGGACGTAACTCTGGATTACTCCACAAGTTAGATTTGTTCAATAAGGTCAAATTGGCAGCCAATCTCAAAAATGACCTACAGCTGTTGTTAACTGGGGCAAGAAATAGCTTGTTAATTTTAACATCTCCAAAATGGAACTGCTCTGAGAGAACCTTTTTTTTGCCTTCCATCAGCATGACTGATGCTAACTTGAGTGACTCTTTGTGCTTTCTTGGGCTAACATTTTCCACCAACATTACATGGAAAGATCATATTGAATCAATTGCCAGGTCTGCTGCTAGGATTGTTAGTTAATTTTTATCATCAGAATCTATCTTGCACATTCATATGTCTACTATTTGTTTCTGCATTTGAATATTACTGGCATATCTGATCTGATTTTTCTGCTATCTATTTAGAGATTCTTGATAAAATCCAAAGAAGAAACTGCAATGTTGTTGGCTCAGACCTGGTATCATGGCTTCCTCTTTGGTGCCTAGACTTTATGAGCTTAAGTGCAGTACTAGATTGACAGCAAAATTTCATCATTTTACAATTAAAATAGCTAGATGTAACCATAACTTTTATACTAACAGTTTCTTTTCTTGCACTTCTGCTTGTGGAAATCTCTTCTGGTTTTCTTTCTTTCCAGTAAACTTTGATCTTCAAAAATTTAAA